GTTTTTAACAGTCTCTCTAAAGGATTGTCAACCTCACACAGCCCGTTCCTCTAGGCTGAACAGGAGACAGAAATTATTCGCTCATAAAACTAATCTCAAAGCTTTGCAGAGGGACCCTGGGATTTATTCTGATCAGGAAACGGAAATTTGACAACAGCAGAAATCCCTGGTGGCAGATGTGCTTGTCTCCAAGACAAGGAAAATCTGTTATTTCCTTTTTCTGCCCCAAACATCCAAGAATTAACTTCAGGACACAGTTTGCATTTCCTATTTAGGAAGACCGAGCAAACATATGAGAAGCTTTGCATTACTAAATTTCACAACAGCTGCAGCTCGGGTCAAGACAGGATTGTATTTCGATGTTTCAAGTTTTTATTTATTTTCTTAAATGAAAAATATATCCTTTGGGCTCCACGAGAGAGGAACTTTAATCCAAGATATGGAGCAATCTAATTCAAATACAGCTGAATCCACTTTATTGCTACTGTTTTAAATTAAAGGAGGGTTAGGAGATTTGCCTGGGGCCTGAAGAATCTTCTAACTTCTGGCGTCTTGTGTTTTAGGAAAAAGGAGCTGTGCTCCCCTAGTTTTTAGCCACTTGGAGAGCAAGTTCTCCAACCATTTGTGTATCCTGCCCTTTTGCAGAAGAGGGGAGAAAGAGTTGCAAAATGACAGCCCCCTTTGGCCACCAAGCTGAAGGCACATTGCTGGATGCAGCGACAGTATAACAAAAGGACGCACACTTGCGATCACCAGAGCACGTTTCTGTGGCTAAGTGAGACAGTTGTAAAATGCGCTTTGCTCCTTTTTATGACCTTAAGTGAATCACTGCAGCTGTTAAATGACTAACAGGGTTAGTTTGCTTGTAAGGAGGTCCCAAAAGGGGATCACACACGACCCCCCTGGGATGCTACAACCGTCGTAAATATAAGCTGGATGCCAAGAGTCTGAACTTTGATGACGTAACTATGGAGGATGCTGTAACGGTTGTGTGAAAAGCAGTCGTAAGTCACTTTTTTCAGTGCTGTTGTAAACTCGGGTCACTAAATGGACTGTCGTTAAGTCAAGAACCACTTGTATTGTTTTGTTTTTCCACCACTGATTCAGAAGAGCCAGGCCACGATATTGCAATGCAGCAAAGCTGATCTGCTGAAATCCTTGCTGTTCCCTTTTTTTTGCTGTTGTTAACCCTGGAAGATCAGACGGACGCATCCCAATTGATCCAGAATATCTTGTATAACACGCTGCGGTGTTTTCATCCTTACAATTCAGTCAGTTAATTAGGTTTCTCTTCTTCCTTTTTCAGGAGTCTGGCTAACCGACCTGGTTCACGTGGCTGCCCATGAGATTGGCCATGCCTTAGGTCTTATGCATTCCCTGGATCCCGGTGCCTTGATGCACGTCAACGCAACCTTGACGGGGAAGAACACAATCTCCCAGGATGAGATGTGGGGGTTGTACCGGCTTTATGGTAAGTGGGTGCATCAGAATTTTGGAACTATTGATCATCTCCTTTGTCAGTTTTCCTGGTGACAAGGACGCCGGTAGCTGCCCCATGCAATTAAGCCTGAACAGAGGTAGTAGCAACTATGCAAAGTGTCTGTGGAGATTCTTATCCATCCCAAAGATGCTTTTTCAAAAGGCAAGTGGACTATCTTTGTTCTTCCTTGGAGACGTTGAGAGAGTGCCAAGGACCAGATGACGGCAAGGAATATACATCCTTAACATCCTCTACCATTCAGTCAGAAGCGAAGAAGCTTCTTGGATGAGAAGTGAAACATCTCCAAGCAAAACAACGAAGAAAAATCCAACTGCCTTTTGGAAAAGCACCTTTGGGGACCACTGTGCGAAAGGACGAAGATTTGGAGAACTGGGTTTTTAAAATCCCCGCGTAGGTCTGTAAAAAGGCAGGAGGCAAGAAGACACAAGGAGGAGAGAAGGCATGTGTGTCCCTGGCAAAATGGATTTAAGGTCAATCACGAAGGTAGCATTATCTATCCAAATCCTTGGAACTAGGACTTTGGCTTCGGCATGCAGTGGCTTTGAGTTCCCTGATTTTCTTCTCTGGGCCTCTGAAAGTCAGAACACGTCGGGCAGAGAAAATGATAGGTTTTCAATCCAACGCTGAAATTCAGCTGAAGGGTGTTCACAACTTGGAACAGAGCGCCGAGCTGTGGTGCAGGACAGCCTCCGAGATGGTGGAGGGGAACGAAATATATATATATATCTATTATTGTACTATTTGTGTTTCAAACTATTTGGATTGGCACTAACCACCAGCTGATCTTCGTGCCAAATGTGCAGTCCACGCCCGTTTGAAAAGAATTGGAGGAATTATTTTCACGGCTCTCCAATCAGCTTGAAAATGTCCTTCTTTCTTTACATTTATACTAAATATTTCTTTTCTGGAAATAAACTGTAGCTCTCCCCCCCCCATCTATGCCGGTGGTTCCTCACTGCTTTGAAAAACCTCAGCAAATTAGAACAGATTGACTAGGAAGATATGTATTTTACCTTGTGAACACATCAACAAAAGTGATTTCCATATCTTTAGAGGACACAAAGAGGCTGTTTCATATACCCGTTTTACATGCTACAGAAGAAGAAAAGTGCTAAAATTTTGAGATGTCAGGACTAAGCTCCATTCTCAAGTTTCCTCCAGAAAGGTTAAACCCAGCCTGTTGGCTAAATCTGAACTTGTAGCCACGATGGAAGAATGAAGGTTAGCTGCCCACTGAGACTCGTTTGTCTGGCACTTCGTTAAATTGGACCGCAAAAACATCGCTCTTGTGTCAAATCAGTTCAGGCACAAAATGAACTTTTTCTTCCGTTTTAAAAACTGAAATCCCCCCCATTTTTTTCCCTCCCCAGGCTGCAAAGACCGAATGTTTATATGCCCGTCGTGGAGTCGGAAAGGGTACTGCCGAACACGCCAAAGGTTTATGAAAAAGCAGTGTCCGTACAGCTGTGATTTTTGCTTGGGTAATTCTCACAACTCACTTGGTTGTAAATGGTGCAGTAAAAAGGGCAATTGATTCTCTTCACAAATACTTCTCAACTCTGGCAACTTTATAAGAGGGGTGGGCTTCAATTCTCAGAATTCTGGGAATTGAAGTCCATCCCCTCTTAAATTTGCTAAGATTCAGAAACACTGCTTTAAATTGATGGCTTAATTTTAGCAGGAAGCCATTGCTGGTATAATATTTTCCCCAGCGTTGGGAATCTCTCTGCATTCAGAAGAAACTCAAAACCCCGAATCTGTTTTCTAACTGGATCTGGGAAGGGAGAAAGCGACAGCAATCTGTCACAATCACAGCAAAACACCATCATTTGCTGTCACATCTGGCCTGGCTGCTCAGGGCAGGCTTGTGAAATGAAACAATTCCAAAGGTGAACCACGAACCATTTGCAGGGCGAAATCAATTAGCAACGCAAAGGCATTTGGTTTCCTAAAAAGATCGCTATCCTGGATCACATTTACATCGCTTTTTTTGGTGGGGTAAGGGATAGTTGCGTTAATTCTCTTCTTTACATCTGAGCTGATGTGTCTGTCGTTCCGCTTTTCCTTGCTCCGGTGGCAGCGTTCCCTTTCCCGACGGTGATACCCACCCCGCCGCCCCCAAGGATGAAGACCAGGCTGGTCCCCGAAGGCCGGAACGTTACTTTCCGATGTGGGCAGAAAATCATTCACAAAAAGGGGAAAGTTTAGTAAGTTACTCTGGATTTTTGAACTCCTGAGAGGAATGCAAGAGAGAAAGCTTTAAAGGCTAAAATGACCTTTTTTTCAGAACTGGCATTGTTTGGTAGCTGCCAAACCTGTAGACTAAAAATGATTGCCAGGTGGGCTTTGTTATTAAGCATGTTGCATGGGCTAAACCTTGTACAGTTGATCAATTGATCTTTCTTTCTCTTTCTTTCTTTCTTTCTTTCTTTCTTTCTTTCTTTCTTTCTTTTTCTTTCTTTCTTTTCTTTCTTTTTCCTTCCTTCCTTCCTTCCTTCCTTACTTCCTTCCTTCCTTCCTTCCCTTCTTTTCATGCAGTTGGTACAAGGAGAAGGAATTGCTAGAATATTCCTATCCTGGCTACCTGTTTCTGAATGGCGACCACATGAGCATCATAGCCAACGCCATCAACGAAGGAACGTATACGTGCATCGTGAAGAAAAAGTCCAAAGTCTTGACCACGTATTCTTGGAGAGTCAGACTGAAGCATTAACATGGATGGTCTGCAAGGACTTACAGACCCCCCCCCCCAAGTCACTCTGTGTGGGTTCACTTCCTCACCTCTGTTGTCATATTGCACTTTTAACAACCGATCCGTAGTCACAAAACCCAGATTTCCCAGTTGTCCCCTTCCAGAAGGAGACTGTGGAAATATTGATTTTTTCCTTGCATTTGTCATCAGTTTTTTCTTGGCCAAGCCTGCTGGGGATGATAGGATGTATAGTCGAAGTCATAAAGGGGAGGAGAAATAGGCTACAACATGAGCTAAAAGAGCTGTTTTTTTTAAAAAAAAAGTTGCTAATATTCTTTAGGAACCATTTTACACTTATATTTTCAGCTACGTTTTGCTACAATCTGGACCTTGGTGCTCTGTCATCGAAGTTGTTTTATTAAATTTCTACTTTCCTGGAGCTGTTCAAGATGGCATATATAACATCCCTCCGCCAATTTTCTCTGACAATAATCATCTTATCGTGTAGGTTGGGGATCTGGGATCTCTTCAGATCTCTGCAAGGAACATTTTAGCCAAGGCCTTCATTATTCTACAATTTAGTAAAAAGATCCCGGCATATCCCAAATTCCTGGGCTGCGTTATTTCAGCCAAACAGACCTTACACAAAACAGTTTGTAAGTTGCACGCACTACGTAAGATTAGAGATATACTCCCGCAAATTACAAGCTAGATTTTCTGCCCTGTGTAGGGAGCCACATCAAGAAAGGAAGGGTTAAAAGAAAAAATTCCTACGTTAAACCTTTGCATCCGTTACACTTATTATTATTTTTTTTTTACGTGGGTCAACAGAAAGAATTTGCCAGCTCAGGTATAGCTCCTGGAAAGGTACAGGACAGTTGATCCTTAAAGGATTTCACCAAAAATTTACCCTTTTTGCCTTCCTGCTCAAATAAAGCATTTCCGTACTGATATTTACGATGGCTTGTGAACATGTACGCTTGCCGTATTACTGTGAGACGTGATCATGTCATTAGAACACGCCAGGACATGTGTTTGAGGCTTATTAGCTCCCAGTAATGAAATTTAGCTGGCTGGGAAGTTTCTACACGTCTTAAAATTGCCAAGTTTGAGAAACAATACTGAGTCATGGGTTCACGACACCACTGATTCCGTTCAATTTGTCATACACAAAGAAAGCTTAGACATTATGAACAATGTTCATAAAACATTAGAAGAGCTAAACATTATTGGGAAAATAAGGTTAATCCATTAGAGAATGTCAGGCATTCTCATGCAAATAGGAAGGCGCCACAGAGGGACAAAGAGACTGTATTCATAGTTACTCTAATCTTTGGTTAGCTGAATCATAGTTTATCTAATTAATCCAATTTTTCGGGATCCATCCAAGGCAAGGACTAGCAACATCGAAGACAGGAGAAAACACACATTAAGATTTGTTACTTTGTGTGTCTGTGTGTGTGTGTGTGTGGGGGGTGTTGTCATGCAGATACAGACAACACTAGAGGTGGCCTGCAGCACACTGTCAACACATTACAGGCAGTCCTTGTTTTATGACTATTCGTTTAGCAACCATTCAAAGTTACAAAAATACTGAAATAACCAACCGGCATTTACAACTGTTGCAGCATCTCCAAAGGGACGCGATCAAAATTTGGGTGCTTCGCAACTGACACGTTGCAGAGTTCCTGGGATCACCCTCTTCCCAGCTGGCTTCCGAGACGCAAAATCAATGGGAGAATGCTGGATTTGTTTAATGACAATGTGATCCACTTGACAGACGCAGTGTGCTTTGCTTAACCAACTGGGGCAAAAAGAGGTCATCCAATCTTAACAACAATGGAAATCCTAGCCCCAGTTTTGCTTGTAAGTCAAGGACTGCCTATATATAGTTACTGTTACGCAGCAACCTCAGTGTGCATCAGAGAAAACAGAGAAACGTGCCAGCGTGTACACAAGAACAGTTTTCTTACCTTTTCAGTGTTTACAAGATTGCCATTAAGATGAATATATATATATACCGCTACACCAATTGCAATGTGGACAATGCTTCCTTAAAAAAAAGTTCCATTTTATACAACCCTTTTCCAATCTGATAAGAAAGCTTTCTGAGCAATGTTCTGTTCATCTTGTCCTGAAGCACAAAAAGGGGAGGGGAAAGTAATTTTTAATGCAGTTCAGACTAAAATACTGTACAGATAATCCTCAACGTACGGCTACAATTGGGCCCCAAATCTCCTACTAAGTGAGGCAGTTAATGGAGTTTTGCCTCATTTTACGACCTTTTTGCCACCGTTAAGCAAATCACTACACTTCTGAAGAGTGAATTGTGCATTTGTTAAGTGGATCTGGCTTCCCCCGTTGATTTTGCGTGTCGGAAACCAGCTGAGGTGGTTGCAAATGGTGATGACATGTCCCTAGGACAGTGCAACTGTCATAAATACATCCCAGTGGCGAAGTGCCCAGATTCTGATGCTATGGGGATTCTGCAATGGTCACAAGTGCGAAAAACGATCCTGTCGCTTTTTTCCGTGCTCTTTAATTTCAAACTGTCACTAAGCAAACGGTTGTAAATTGAGGACTGCCTGCAGATATGTATGAAACAACCGGTTTTGAGAACACGATTTAAGGCACAAGGGGAAGAAGTTAACTATTAGAACTCGCCGCTAAAGGATATCATGTTTACTCATTTTTAGTTTAGAAATTTATGAAGTTTCAAACCCTAAAGCAACTGTTGTGTTGTGTAGTGCAGTAGGACCCTAAGTTTATGTTCAGTTTTCAGGCTACCGTTATCCCTCCTCAGAGGAAAGAGGCATTCACAAAACCCCAAATCAATCCTGCTTGGGTGTCTTTGCATTCAGACAGCTTTGCAAAGTTTAATCCGTTCTCTTCAACACGCAAATCATCTTCTTTTTTAAAAAAAAAGGTGTTTGGAATCAGGAACCTCAGCTGGCCCTTGAAAGAAAATTTTCTCTAAAAATGGCCTGAATGGTTTATAGCCAGGCAGGTGCATTTGAAACACGGGTCTTGAAAGTAGTTAACTTACCTGGTGGCACGTTTGGAAGCTAACAACTAGATCAAAGTCATCTCAAAAGGCCAAACTATGCTATCACAATTTGCACGTTCTTTCTCGTCTCCCTCTCTTTCTCTCTCTCTCTCTCACAGCATCTGGTGCAAAATGTCTGCAATTGGATTAAAGTAACATATCAGCATGTTTTCAAACCAGACATCCAATTCAGCAAGTGGGTAATTCTTTTTCAGACCTGAAGAGAAGGCTAAAGACTTAACTTTATATATATATATATATATATATATATATATATATATATATATATATATATATATATATATATATTATATATATATATATATATATATATATATATATATATAAAAATTTTTTTTCCAGGCCCGAGAGCAGTAAAACATGGCATGCAGTTCTCCATATTTTCCTTACTACATTATCTTTCTTTCTCAGCTGAGGAATCACAAAGCCACAACACCAACTGCGGGATGGCTAGAAGGAAAATGCACCAAGTGTTAAAACACAATCAAACACAAGATTGAAGGGAGCAAAGAAAACAAGGTGATTTGCACCGAGTAAACAATTAAAAATCATCTTCTTTTTTTATTCTACATATGTACAAGCAAGAAAAAAAAAACCCCCAAAACTAATCTGAGTGGGAAAAACATAAATAGAAACAAAAGGTGTTTTTTCTTTTTTTAAAAAAATAATAGTTCCTCAAGTTAGCTGGGATTTTTGTTCTCATGATGGCGATGGTGGTTCCCCCCCCCCCAAAAAAAGGGTCCTTGGGTTTTTTTGAATTAATTCCAATCGTTAAAAAGGAATCCAACTTTCTCTATTTTGATCCAGAAGAGGGTCCCAATTGCAGAGAATATTCTGCAAAAAAAAAAAAAAAAAAAGTAATCAGCGTAGAGAACGCAATTTCCCTTCCTTCTGGCTCCTCTCGCGAGGTCGTGCCTTTGGCCCCTCCATTTAAAACTTCAGGCTGAATCCTGGTCCTGCAGCCGACGCGCCTTGATTTGTGGTCGTCAAATGGAAACCGGTCTCTTTTATGTCGTCGTCACCCTGGGAAGGCAAAAAGACAGGTGTGTAAATACAGGTGGTCCTCCACGTACGACGACAAACGGGCCCAGAATTTATGTTGCTAAGTGAGTCAGTTGTGAAGCAAGTTTTGCCCCATTACGGATCATCCTGATGATTGGCCTAAGGCAGGACTAGAACTCCCAATCTCCTGGTGATTGGCCCAAAGTCACCCCGACGTTGCTTTCATACCGAAGGCGGGACCAGAATTCACCATCTCCTGGAGACTGGCCCAAGATCACCCAGTTGGCTTTGTGGTACAAATTCTACTACCCTCCTTGGATGAACTTACCAGCTGACTGTAACCCAGCCCCCCTTCTGGGGGCCGGGGGCTTGTGCCCCGTTTCACTCGCTGCTGCTCGCTTTTGGCTGGCCACGTTGGAAACATGGAGGGGTCGATGGGCTGTGGGGTCTCACGGAAATATTCGTGCTTTAAGCCGTCTTCAGCGGTGATCCTTCTGCCAGGGAAGTAGGTCAAGAACCTGGAAAAGCAGAAACACACAATCCACAAACTGAATGGGCCAAAAACAACAACAACAACCCCAAAACCCATTTTACCTTTGTTAAGTGAAGGAAAATTGAGCCCAGGATTTATTTGAGTGAGAAATTTGCTTAAGTGAGTTTTGCTCCCTTTTACGACTTTTCCCGCCACGTACGTTAAGTCAATCACTGCAGCTGTTATATTAGTGACACAGTTGTGAAATGAAGGTTTAAAACGCTGGTCACACGACCCAAGGACATCGTGACCGTTGTAAATATGAATCAGTTGCCAAGTGTCTGAATTTTTATCACAACGACCGTGGGGATGCTGCAGTGATTTTAAGTGTGGGAAATGGTCACTTTTTTTTAGTGACGTTGTAACTAAACTAAACAAACTGTTGTAAGTCAGGGACTATCCGTAATTATTCACCGGACATAATTTCCTGTGCTAGACAAATGAAGTCAGGTGCAATGAATATACCCCCAGGGTTATTTCAATGAAGATACTGAATAGATATTAGAAGACAATGATTAATCTCTCTACCTAGGCAGTTGTATCTGAACCTACCGCAATGCTTCTTTATAGAATTATGTTGGTTCTACGCAAGAGGTAAAAAATAAAGTTTTCAGCAGAGCGTGTCGGGTTTTTTTTTTAGAGCAACAGTGCCTTTTTTTTTTCACAGCTTTCATCCAGCTTTTTTTTTTTTCCCCCCAATTTTCCATCCTAGCCTTCAGACTCTACAACATCCAAACAGGCTTGACCAAGATCAGTCGAGTGCTGCCCCCTGCTGGCCAAGCCTATAATTGACTTGTGATTTCCCACAATGTCCTAGAACTTGTGGACTTCAACTCCCAGAATTCCTGAGCCAGCATGGCTGGCTCAGGAATTCTGGGAGTTGAAGTCCACGTCATAAAAGAGCCAAGGTTCCCCACCCCTGTCCTAGAGTGAAATTGCAGGAGCAGCATTATGGGTGGTGACAATACTTTCTCTGGGTGTGGAGGGCAGATCCAGTGGACTGGGAGAAAAAAACAAAAAAAGCTTGGATTTTATCCAAATGTAAAACAAATAAAGACCAATCTACGATCTGCAGATTGGAACAGTTGGGACCAACTGTCCAAATTCTCTAGGGATCTACAACTGCCTCTCTTCTTATCGAACCCTGGGGGAGGGGGGGGGGTTGGAGTCTGATTCTCATCCCAGCAAAAATATAACGGCTTGCCCTCTCGAAAGGAACACCCAACTCACTTATTCATGAGATCGAATCCTTGATCCGAGAGTAGGGCGCCAAACCGCTTGCGGAGGTTATTGTATGGATACTCCGTGAAGGTCATTTTTTTGACTGCCGGCAGCTCGTTATAACCCGGCCAGATTTTTTCACTCGGGGTTCCCAAGTCCTTTAAAAGAAGAAAGCAAAGTTTAAGGAAGCTCAGTTGAGAATGGTCGTCTTTGGAAAACAGTTTTTGATAAATAATAATAAAACAACGCGAACACCGTCGGCACTGACAAAATCCCCATCGGTCAATTGCAAAAGGCAGCTTTGCTCAGAACCGCTTACATCCTGCGACGAGACCCTTAAGCCTCACAAATTGCAAGCTGAATTGGTGGACCGGTGTGAATGTGAACAAATGGGGATTTGCTTGGCTTCCCTCCGACAGCATCACCGCCAACCCTGAAGTAGTCAAGGCAAAGAGTGTTAAGGACCAGGGTTTACTTACTTTAAAAACTTTGTTAATTTGGTCGATTTCAGATTTCCCTGGGAATAGTGGCTTCTGGGTTAACAGCTCTCCAAAGATGCAGCCCACAGACCACATGTCGATGGCCGTGGAATATTCCTGGAAAAGAGAACAAAACAGAGAGGATTAGACTGACTCAGAACTGGAGAAGCTTCTGGGGTAAGAAGCGAAACATCTTCAAAAAATAAAAATAAAAACAAAGTTTAGTTGCCTTTTGAAAAAGCATCTTGGGGACAATCAGATCTGGATGACTGAGGATCTCCAAAAATGAATCCAGGACACTGATCTAAGGGGAACTAAGTAGGACAAAAACAGCTGCTACTTAAAAAACGTAGCCAGCGCCCCCCGTATCACAAACCTTGGCTCCGAGTAAGAGCTCGGGCGCGCGGTACCACAACGTCACGACAACCGGGGTGTATGGCTTTAAGGGAGAACCGTATTCTCGTGCCAGTCCAAAATCTCCAACCTAAAGAAAGAATGAGAATAGGAGGACTTGATGTACTAACATGAGTTAATTACTATCGGCAAACAGTACCTGGGAATCGTGTCGTAATTTTAAAGAGAGATAATAAATGTGTAAGTGTTGTAAGGATCTGAAGTTGCTTCTTCATATATTTTTCCTCTTTGCACTATTTTTAAACTACTCCCATTTTCTCTGCTTTATATGACAGGCAGTCTTTGACTTACGACCACATTTAAACTCAAAATTTCCATTGTTAAAGTTAAGTGAGTTTTGCCCCCATGTTACGACCTTTCTTGCCAGTTGTTAAGGGAATCACAGCAGCTCAGTTACTGACAGGGCTGTTAAGTGAATCTGACAGAAGGTATAACAGGGGACCATGTAGCCATGAAACACTGCGACCGTCATAAACACGAGTCAGTGGATTTTGATCACGTGACCGTGGGATGCTGCTCCACTTGTGTGACAAATGTCACTTTTTTCAGGACCGTTGTAACTGCAAACGGTCACTATATGAATAGTTGTTAGGTCAAGGACTACCTCTATTTTATTTCTGTGAAAAGCTTTAATAAAACCACTAAGAGTGCTTGATTGACCGACTGGGGTCCCTCCCCAGCTCTCAACAGACATCTCCACTGTGTATTATTCCTGTTTTTGTATTTTAAGTGGAGTTTGCAGGAGGACGAGACCCTCCCAGTGCAAGGGAAAGCAAACAAAACTGGCTTACTTTTAAAATCCCAGCATGGCTCAAGAGCAAGTTTGAGGTTTTCAAGTCCCGGTGGAGAATCCAATTGTCGTGCAGGTGTTTGACCCCCCGGAGCAACTGAATCATCAAGGTTTTCACTTCCCCTGGAAGGCAAAAATTGGACGTGTAAAGAAAAGAGGGGGAAAAAAGCCACAACTTTGGAGGTCTCTCTCACACGCCAGAGAAGGGGCGTATCTGGGTCTCACCTGGCAGAAAAGGCTGTTTCATCGTTTCCATCAAGCTCTTGAGGTCATGCTCAACGTAGTTCATCACGATGTAGATCTTGTCCATGTTGCTCCCGACGACGATCTCCTAGATCCCAGGGAAAAAAGAATAGGACGGTGAACCCCATCGTGCCCTCTTGCTAGTTCTTGCCCCTTCGTAGCGGTTAAAAAAAGATAAACAGAACCGCTGTGTCAGCGAGATGGAGAGTGTATCCATTTCATAAATAATGTGAATAAATTTGTCAAGACAAATGCTTGCCTCCTCTTTGAGTTTTCTAGCCGAGGGACCAAAACACTCCTAATGCAACTTACCCTAACAGTGACAATATTTGGGTGCTGAGCTTTGAGGATGGTGTTGATCTCTCTCAAGGAAGTAATAGGAAAACCTTCTTTTTCCTTCTCCATTTTTAATCGCTTCAAGGCCACAATTTCATCTGGAAGAAAAAAAACAACAACAGAGGAGCATAATTTGACCGCAGGCAGCTTAGCTCTCTTCCCATCAGCCCGTGAAAAACTGGGCGTGGAACGTTTCAAAAATGACATGAGGCATTTTTTAAAATTCAGAATTCGCAGCCTGAGTCCAGGAAACCGTCAATCGAAAGAATTTTCAAAAGTATTGAAGACTGAGGCTGCAAAAAATGAATTATGATTAATTTTTCATTAATTCAATTAAAAATGAATCCATCACCAGTTTTCAGAAACCAGGGTGGGCAGGGAAAGGATTTATGGGAAGTGCAATATTGGGTCCTTGGGATGAGATATTTTTCCTGCGTACAGAGCACTCTTTGTCCTCCTTTTTTCACAACAATCTTGTGAGGTAGGCTGGACTGAAAGTGAAATTGGCCCCGGAAGCTGCTGAGGCTATTGCTACATCAAAACCTCAGTGTCCCAGCTAGCTTTTGACAGGTACCAATTTTTGTTTAAAATGGAAGTGAAAAATTAGGGAAGTACCACACAATGGCCCCGTTCTGCTTTCCATTCAGAAGTGCTCAGGTTTAATACCCATCAAAATTGCCCCCCCCCCCCAAAAAAAACCCTACCTGTTTTTTTGTCTTTTGCTCTGTACACCACGCCGTAAGTCCCTTCCTCGATCCGGTTCAAGCACTGGAACTCTTCCACGCTGCGGCAGCCCTGGGCAAGAAGAATTAATGAAACAAATGTTCCAATTTTAATTTTTTTTTTAAATCATTTTGGAAAAAAAAATATATATCTCGATTTGAAGATTTGTAGCTATGAAGCAAAGGAAGCTAAATGCCTTATTTAAAAGATTATTTTATTTGGGTGTCTTTTTTAATTCCCTCTGGGAATATCCCATGAGGAGATCCACGGGTATAACAACAGGTTGTAAGTATCTTTTAAAATAGATAGGGGGTTGGACTAGATGACCTCCAAGGTCCCTTCCAACTTTATTATTATTATGGATCATGGCACAGTCAGCCAGATGTTCAGACTGGATTTGGCATTTTGTCTACCTATCGAGTCCTTACCCAGGACCTGGGATAGGCAGATGTGGATGTTTATTATTATTATTATATTATTATTATTATTATTAGACAAAAAGTCTGCTACTCCCTGCATTAAGAAGAGTTGTCTCTTATATACGTCAGCCCAGCCCACAAGGGAAACAAATGTACTCCGTGTTGAATGTACAAGTAGTCCTTGAATTATCACAATTCAGCCCAAAATTTCTGTTGCTAAGTGAGACATATATTAAGTGAGTTTTGCCTCATTTTACGATCTTTCTTGCCACAGTTGTTAAGTTAGTCACAGGGCTGTGAAGTAAATCGGGATTCCCTATTGATTCTGCTCCTCAGACGGTCGCAAAAGAGGACCGGGACACTGCAAAACCGTCATAAATACAAGTCAGTTGCCAAGCGTCTGGATGTCGATCCCAGGACCATGGGGATGTTGCTTAAGTGTGAAAAACAGCCATAGGTCCCTCATTTCAGGGCTGTTGTAACTTTTGAACAGTCACGAAATGAAAACGGTCACTAAATGAACTGTTAAGTCGGGGACTACCTGCTGGAGGTGTCTTACCTGGAGGGCTGGGAGGTATTTGGGCAGCTCTCGTTTCAGTTCTGCAGGCGAGGAGATAGGGGAATCGGGAAGGAATTCGCCTTCCGTCAGGGCGTTGGACTGCGGGCTTCCTTCCACGACTTCGTCGTCCTCCGCTTCGCTTCCCACGGAGTCCTGGTCAAACCGCGACTCTGTAACTTTAAATCGTAGAATCAAATCGAGGAAGCCGGTCAACAATTGGGGCAGTTCGGCCTCCCACCCAGAAAGGCCCTTGTTGCTTTATTTTAGGGATCCTTCTAAACTCCCATGACCAATTCCGAAGATGTAATAGTAATAGTAGTAAAGTTGGAAGGGACCTTGGAGGTCATCTAGTCCAACCCCCTGCTCAGGCAGGAAACCCTACAGCATTTCGGACAAATGGCTGTCCAGTCTCTTCTTAAAAACTTCCAGTGTTGGAGCATTTACTGCTTCTGGAGGCAAGCTGTTCCACTGGTTAATTGTTCTCACTGTCAGGAAATTTCTCCTTAGTTCTAGGGTGCTTCTCTCCTTGGTTATTTTCCACCCGTTGCTTCTTGTCCTGCCTTCAGGTGCTTTGGAAAATAGCTTAATTCCCTCTTCTTTATGGCAGCCCCTGAGATATTGGAAGACTGCTATCCATGTCCCCCCTTATCCTTCTCTTCGTTAAACTAGACATCCCCAATTCTAGCAACCGTTCCTTATATGTTTTAGCCTCCAGTCCCCTAATCATCTTTGTTGCTCTTTTTTGTACTCTTTCTAGAGTCTCAACATCTTTTTTACATCGTGGTGACCAAAACTGGATGCAGTATTCCAAGTGTGGCCTTACCATGGCATTGAAGAGTGGTATTAATACTTCACGTGATCTTGATTCTATCCCTCTGTTAATGCAGCCTAGCACTGTGTTGGCCTTTTTGGCAGCTGCAGCACACTGCTGGCTCCTATTTAGGTGATTGTCCACTAGGACACCGAGGTCCCTCTCACAGTTGCTACTATTGAACAAGGTACTCCCTATACTATACCTGTACATTTGGTTTTTCTTGCCTAAATGTAGAACCTTGCTTTTTTCACCATTGAATTTCATTTTGTTAGTTAGTGAACCTACTTCCAGAGCCATCAATGACTGGTGGCTCGTAATAAACAGAAGTGATTTTATCCTCCAAGTCAGGGAAAATTCTCTAACTGTAGTGGGATTGGTTGGGTTGGGTGGCTATCACAGGGCCATCCCTGCAGACATTGGTCGGCGGTTCTGAGGTCATAGAAAGGGCAGGCTGATTGTTGAGCCCCAGCTAGTGAGTGCTCTTACCTACTTTTTGACACAATTGCTTAAGCTCACCATTTGTGTTGCACACATGCTCAAGACCCTTGAGCATGCAGTGAGTGTAGTGCAATTTGGATAAACTCCCCTTTCCTGTAACTGGGCCCTCTGGTTTTGGGAAAACCATGGCTAGGCAGACCAAGCAATAACACAGACTCAAAATTCAAGGCACGCCCCGTTTGTAACTATATGTTAAGTCCTGAGAAGGCAAGCCTTAAAACTAGGATGTTTTCAGCTTGTCCAAGCCTGTCTTTGTAGAATGAAAGTGAATCAGCCCAGGGGAAAATAACGGGAGTTTTGGACCTATCTGAGAAGAGAATAGGACACCGGTCAAAGTCAACTCTTCCCTCTGTTTCCTTACCAATTGGAAGATGGTCTCCGTTTTCTCGTTCCTCTTCTTCGCTCATTTCGTCTTCGCTCACCTCTTCTGCAAGACAGATGAAAGAGACACATCAGGAGAGAGGAATTGCCGTTTCTGCACTCCGCGCCAGAAGGGAGAACGGAATCCAGATTCACAGCACTTGTGGTGGTTTAAAAAAAAAAACTTGGATCGGCTCAACTGAAACACACACACACACAGCTCACACATTCTGCGTGTTGCAGTCTAAGAACAGCGGGAGGATGGAATTATTGCCTGACCCCCCCCCCCAAGAAATCAGAAGATTGAGAAATATCATTGGTTGGTATAAATCTACATTTAGGTTCTGCTAAGCTTCAACAGTAGCACAGAGGCCACAATACACAATCATTTGTTCAGCCACTGTTTGTGGAGTTGTGACAGTGCTGAAAAATGGGCTTACAGGCGTTCAACTATCGTAGGGCTCCCTCTGACCCGTGACCAACATCCGGTCCTTGCATAATAACCACAACCAGGACTAGCAGAGCAGAACTGCCGTTGCTAAGCAGGGCAGTCCACATGATGCTTCGTTGATGACCGTTTTGCTTAGCAACAGAAACTACAGTCCCCATTAGGGACGTTAAGTGAGGATTATTGTTAAATACAGCAGGGTGGAAAGAGGCTTGTTTCCTACTACTAACCAGCTGACTGTTCGGATATTTCCTCCGAATTGCTTCCTGTCTCCTCCTCCTCCTCCTCCTCTTCCTCTTCTTCCTCTTCTGACTCTTCACTGCTGGATTCTTCCTCCTCCTCTTCCTCCTCCTCCTCTTCTTCCTCTGAAGCCGATCCTGATTCCCCTGGGGAACAGAAAATAATAATAATAATAACAATAATGGCAATCTCCAGGGGCCCAAGCGTGGCTACTGTGCGGAATCGGCACCCACAGGAAAGCTACCTGATGAGGTTTCGGCCGAGCTGGTTTTTCGCTCACTGTCGCTGATATCTTGAAGATCGGATAAAGGGTCTTTTCCTTCTGTTTTTTCCTCTCTCGCTGCAGGGGGAGAACAAAAGAGGGCAACCTCAAGGGACAATGCACTTTCATTGCACATTGGTTACAGTTTGACCGTTTTAAAACTTTGTTTTCTTAAGATCAAGGATGGCCTTCACTAGGACAGTCTCCAGATGGGCGAATTCTCAGCCATCAAGAGCTCTGCGGACAATTTGAAGAATACACATCTGGAAGATACCCAATTGGGTAAGAAGACCCCCCCCTCCCCTCCATGTCTCTATCTGGAAAGCGTGCACTGCCTGATGTTCATTAGATGATTGTCAACCAAATTGAATGCTTCCCTAATGAAAAGGTTTAAATTATTTTGGACCATTGGAAAAAAAAGCATTTTATAGGTTCGCACAGAACACAGCAATTTTATTTTCTTCAGCGCTCTGTAAGTGAGTTACAATACGTAGAGCCTGTTCTTAAATTCTACGAGTTCTACAAAAAAGATATTACTATGAATTTGACAAGAGGCACTTTTAAAACTTTCCAGGCTAAAGCAATCTGCGAAATGTTAACACTTCAGTTCAATTCCCATTGTCACTTTCATTCTCTTCCCAAGAACTTTTTTTAGGTTGGCAGCCGTGATTTATTTTTCAAAGGAAGCGTGCAGGAGATCGAGGGATATTTGATATTATGTGACCTCGTAGCTTTTTCCCTCGTTTCCAAGCAACGTAAAAATAGGATGTAATTATCTCATTCCTATGTGACACAGATGAAATCTCAGTGGGATAATACGGAACAGGGTGTTTCAGTCACCCTGCACGATTAAATCGCGCGATATAAAATAAAGTCTGATTATTAATAAAACCCGCAATGTACTTTCAGCCACTCCCATCTTGGTGGTTTCAATCAAGACACCAACAAGTCCGATTGATTGATTTGAACGCTACCTGGTTTCCTGATTTCTGACAGTTCAAGTTTTTCTCTCTGTTGCCGCAGGGGACTTCGGCTCCATAGCCTTACTTTCTCCCCGTAGTCTTCTCTCATTGTCCTATGATGCCCTGAAACTAACAGAGACAAGGGAATCTTCCAGGATGATATTTCTTACACAATCTTTACAGTTCTCCCAAGATGAGGCCCACCCTGGCCAGGCGCCTGACTGGATCCAGACCAAGCTTCATCACCTGAAGATGAGCCCTCCCAGGTATTCAGAATCTACCTGGGCTACCTTCAGCCTTCCAGTTCTCTTTTCAACAGACCAGCAGTTTGCCCTTCCAGGCTGGCTTTAACCTCTGCAAACTTTTGAGTCTCATTTCAACTTCAGCCTGCCTATAAGGGTTCCTTGGAACTCTCTGAGGCTTGGGTTTTTTTTTTTTTTTTGGCAGACATTTCATTATCCAAACTAGGTAACATCATCCGTGCTAATTACTAGCCTCAGAGCTAGTAACATCATCACTAGCATTGATGATGGTACCTAGTTGGGTAATGAAACGTCTACAAGAAATAAATCGAGCTCCGAGAGCACCAAAGAGCCCTCATTTCCACTCTGAGCCACAGACGTTCTCCTTTATTGGTACTTGCCTATAACTCCTATGCGAGGCGCATCATACATTCGTTCCCACGTTACTCATCCCTTGCGCACAGCCCACGCTCTATTTTTGCTCTCTGCACTACTTACTCTCCCGTCTGGCTTCCCGTTCTTTCCGCCTTTCTTCCGCTCGCCTCTCCCGTTCTTTCAACTCTCGCTGCTCCTTCTGCTGCTCCCTTAATTTCCTTTCCCGTTCCCGTTTTCGTTCCAGCTGCTCCAAACGGTCCCTGGAGAGTTTGCATGTAACCCGCGTTAATTTTATCAGTCTAACGTGTGATGGAGTTACGCTCAGCCGAGTTTCGTTTCCTCTTTCAGAAGCCGTTAATGTGTTTTCCTACCCAGAATGGTTTCGTATGAACTGAAGCGAAAAACTAAAGTCTGCAACAGGAAAGTGCATTTCGCGTAACGAGTTGGGCAAGGCCAAGGAAACCGCTTTGTCGTTGATTGTTGAAAGAATGAGAGACTAACAATGGCAGGAAGGATTGACACAACACGAGATGAAAATCTCCCAGCTCTTCAAGCTCAAACTTCTAAAATAATATTATATTCTTAGCCTAATAACAACATATTTAATTCAGAGATGGAAAAGAATCTACCGGGTATCAGTTATCCTTAATAAGGGAAATTATTAAGGGGAGGGGTACCACTACCTAACACAGTTGAGATTTGTCACAATATATTAAATATATAACGAAGCAATATGGACCAATCTATTCACTCAAGCTGACAATCTCAGCCAGGTGGCGAATAAAGAAGACTCAGAATTAAACATTAAAAAAAAACAAACAGCTGATATATTCAGGCTGCCAATCAATGCAAAGTCTGTTGATCAACCCCCTTTCAAGCATCTGGCGGGTTACTCAAAGTTTAGAGGGCTGTCAGTAATCTCAAATGCCAGTACAACCTCAATATTTATTCGCTCAGCTTTAATATAACCAAATGCTCAAGGAAGATTACTTGTGAGCAGGACAGTACTTGTGAGCAACGAGCAAAGCAGTAAAATGCCAGAAATGTGAGCATGCATTGCTGAGCAATCCTACCATTCTCTTATTAGGGATATTCTTACTGGAGCCTGTTAATATGCTCCCATTTCAAAACCAAAATATACTTATCCATGCTAATCAAATTAAAATACTATTCTTTTAGTTTAGACCAGGGGTCTTCCAACGTGGCCCTTTTATGACTGGTGGACTTCAACTCCCAGAATTCCTCAGCCAGCGTGCGTTGAACTCCACCAGTCATAAAAGGGCCACGTTGGAAGACCCCTGGTTTAGACATTCATTGGATATCTGTAAGGAACCGGAGGGAGCATCACATTAGCTTTCTGACACACACAAGCGCACACACCCACTTCTGCAGCCCGCAACTTTTAAAATTTGTCAGCCATTTCAAGTAAACTAATTATGCTTAAAAGATCTAATAAGCAAAATCCGCAGGAATTTGCAATCGGTAAGTAAAAGGCCCAATTCTTCACAGAAACTGCAGCAAATGGAAAAATATCTATGATAATTCCTCTCTGTTGCCGATAATGAAGTTTATATCACAAAGCGACAATGAGCTAAGTTTGGCTTAGTGCAAGGGGCTTCAAACTTGGCGCGCTGGCTGAGGAATTCTGGGAGTTGAAGTCCACCAGTCATAAAAGGGCCAGGTTTGGAGACCCCTGGCTTAGTGGTTAAGGCACCAGGCTAGAAAACAAGTGTGTTCAAGTCCCGCCTTAGCCATGAAAGCTGGCTGAGTGACTTTGGGCCAGTTCCCCCCACCCTCTCTCTCAGCTCAGCCCACCTGACAGGATCGTTGTTATAGGGCAGTGGTGGCGAACCTACGGCACGGGTGCCAGAGGGGGCACTTAGAGCCCTCTCTGTGGGCACGCACGCTGTCGTCCCAGTCCTAGGCCTTCAGCTGGGTTTTATAAAATCTTTTCGTTTTAGGCCTCTGCCACCGGGTGCAAAAAAAAAAAAAAAAACAGGTTCAATCAGTCAATTTCAACTTCTCACGGGAAAAAAAAAGATCTTGCAAAGTTGGAACTGATTGAATTTTTTAGTCCCACCCAGCCTGCCGTTACCACTGCAGCCACGCCCACCCGGCACCAGACGACACATAAATGGGTTTTGGATTGCAGTTTGGGCACTCGGTCTCTAAATGGTTCGCCATCACTGTTATAGGGAAAATAGAAGGAGGAAGGTCTGTTGGACCTATCTGCCACCTTGAGTTTTATATATATATAAAAAATTATAAAGTTGGGGTACACATTACATAAAGAAAAATAAAGAAATGACATTGTTCACAGGGACCGTGTCGATTCCCCCTTGGCAATGGAAAAATGTAAGAAATATAACCAAGCATCGAGATTAAAGTGCTCAGGGGGAGATCTAAGGGAGAAATTTTGCATTGGGGGGGCCTGGTTAAAAAAATTACCTCTCTCTCCGCGAGTGCTCCCTAGCCAATTCTCTCCTTTTCTGCCTCTCCCATTCGCGACGGGCCTTATCCTGCTCTTCGCGGTGTCTTTTTCTACGTTCATGCTCACGTTCTTTTTCTTTCACTCTAACATGCTTCCCTAGTAATAAAGATACAAAGAAAAGGCCACACCGTGGGTTACCCCTCCCTCGCCAAAGGCACTTGGAGACTTACTAGAGCAAAGGAACAGGAGAAACAATGGCTGATTGGGAACGATGGGATTGGTAGTTAAGCCTGTTGGGAATCGGTCCCCCAGCCAAAACTTGGGTGGGAGAATTTGTATCTTTATTTTGAGGTGTCCTATCCAGTATTTATTTTATGTGTGGGTGTTTTTTGGGGGGGGGTTTAAGTGACCTGAACAGAGTTAAGCAAGCATTTTTAGTTTAATGTTTGCCAGGGAATAAAGGGATTTTGATTAAGAAAATGAGTTTTAGATAGTTTAAAATAGTATAAGCGCCTAGTAATGTGTGGCGATGAATGAATTAATTCTGTATTTCGGATACGTTGCTTATCGGCCTGCCTTTCGCTACTTTGACTTGCTTTTCCCAATTTGATCATCTGTTTTGAAAAATATATAGGATAATAGCGGGGGAAAAAAAAGTATTTGGGAGAATGGTGTGCGTGGTTCCCCCACCCCCAGAAGACTGCCTATGAATGTATCTATGGCAGTGGTTCTCAACCTTTTTAATGCCGCGACCCCCCAACCGGTCGTAAGTCAAGGACTACTCAACCGGTCGTAAGTTGAGGACTACTCAACTGGTGCAGCACCATTTAAAGAATGGGACTTTTGGCGGGCTCAGCAGGGCAGAGACAGCCTGGACAATTCCTATTGGCTTTTGAAAGCCAATAGAATTAGACTCTATTCAAGAGAGTCTATTCTATTGGCTTTCAAAAGCCAATAGAATAAAAGGGAGGAGCACAGCCAAGGAAAAGGGGAAAAAAATGGCAGACTGCGTTGTTTGGCGACCCCCGTGAAATGGTCGTTGGACCCCAAATGGGGTCCTGACACACAGGCTGAGAACCACTGATCTATGGGAAGAAAGGCTAGAGTTTCCATACACCAAAGCAGTATATCTCAGAACCAGGAAGTAAAAACATGCCAGGTTAAGATTCACAACTGCTTCCCAAAATCCAGAGACTGTTTTTACCCTTTGGCTAGGCAACTGATTTTCCTTCTCAAATGCTGAGGAAATGCAACTTAAGGTGGCCACTGCTTAAGCAGAAGGCAGCCAGCCATATTTCAGGGATGCTAAAGCAGAGAATAGCAATAGCACTTCATGGTGCTTGAGAGGAGAAGTCTCCAACCCTCCAGGCTGTGGCTCATTACCAGATCATGGTCTATTTGCAACTGAGCCATGGGCTGGCACACGCGCAGCTTGACTCACGCGAGAGGTGACCGGGCACATGTGTGCGTGCCGGCCCGCCGCTCTAGCAAGTCAACGGCCCACTTCCCCTCCCCCCCCCAACAACCGGGTCACCTAGCTGCCGAAGTTGGAGACTGCACTTTCTAAGCAGTTTACAGAGTCAGCACTTTGCCCCCAACAATCTGGGTCATTTTACTGGAAGGATGGAAGGCTGAGTCAATCTTGAGCCGGTCAAGATCAAACTCCCGGCAGTGGGCAGAGTTCGCCTCAATGCTGCATTCTAACCACGGCTCATATATGATTTCTACATGAGAAGCTCGTGTATGAGCAAGGAGCTGGGCTAAATGCTCTCTGGGAACCTTACTTTCATCATTCTAAACCTGCACGAGCTTAAGCCTTGCCTGAATAGGCGGTGCCACAAAGAAGTGATTCCTAGACGGTCCTGCTGACCTCAGAACCTTCACTTCTTCCCATCTTTGTAGTTGTGGCCCTCTGGCTGTGACCGGACAGGGTGTTTTATCAAAAGCAGTGGCAAAGCGACAAAGGGACCCCAAATGAGAAGAACAGAACCTTCTGCTGAGTGACTGCGATGCCGTCTTTTTTCTTTCCGCTTCTCGTCCTTTCTGTGGTGGGCTTTCTCCTTGCGTGACATTTGCTGGGGGGGTTTGATTGCCAGGGAATCGTCCTCCTCTCCCCTACGGAATGCAGAATTTGAAAAACACAAGAGAAGAAATGTGAAACTGGGGAAAGCTACAGTGACCATCTCACCTAAGTGATTTTCAGTGGTTTTGCTTTCCTCCTCCCAACCTGTCACTTCTCCTCTTCTGTTAGGCCTCTAAGGCTGCAAACTAAGCGGGTCATGATTCTCACCGGTGCATTATATACGATTTAAAACTATTCTTATGCTGCTGTTCACCCCAACGGCTCCCAAGAGTTGCTTCCAAATCCAAATTGCCGCAAAATCCAGCAAAGAAAGCAGGACCATTTCATTAGCTTTGCCAAAACAAAAAGCAAAAAAACCTCAACCTCCATGAGGTTCCTCTTTTCATAAACTGCCAATCTCTAGCAGCAATTTCAGTAGATCATAGCTACAGCACTAAGGAAGCAGAACCGTTCATCAGAGACTCAACAATTTTGGCTTCTCTTCTCAAATGTGCTAGCTCATCCTGAGGGGGATTTTGTTTTTTGCAAGGCGCTCTGGGAAGTTGGAGGTCAGGGATTGAAAAGTCCTTCAAATGAAAAAACCTGAACGGCTCTACTAAACATGAATTCTCCCTAGCATTCCAGCACAGATCATCATCGACTTTCAACAGTTCATTTAGTGACCGTTCGAAGTTACAACAGCACTGAATAAAGTGACTTATAATGGTTTTTCACAATTACAACTGTTGCAGCATCCATGTGATCAAAATTCAGACACTTGGCAACTGACTTGTACTTATGATGGCACCAGTGTCCCAGGGGATCATGTGATCCCCTTTTACAACCTTCTGACAAGTAAAGTCAATGGGAAAGACAGATTTGCTTAAGAATTGTGTTACTAACTTAAACTGCAGTGATTCACTTAACAACTATGGCAAGAAAAATCATAAAGCGGGGCAAAATTCACTTAACAAATGTCTCGCTTAGCAAACAGAAATTTGGGGCTAAATTGTGGTCGTAAGTCAAGGACCGCCTGTGGGAGCTTTCTCACCTGTCGTCCATAGAGTCTTCTCTCCTGTAAGGTGAATTTCTAATAGTGATCTCCATGCGGTGATCTCTTAACTCACCCTCTTCAAGGGAATCCCGTTTTGAATCCCGGTCATCAGACTGTTAGGAAGAAAAGATTTGTTTTGCCTTTTGGGAAAGTGCCCTCATCAACTTAAACAGAGAGAGTGAAAAGGGCTGAGAATTATCACACGCTTGAAAAGAACATGCGCGGCATGTTCAAACCCGAACCCCAATATTAAGATAACCTTTATTGTCATTTTTTTTTTACTGTGGGCACAACGACACACATCAAAAATGAAATTTAGTTGCCCGTTCTTAAAATGAAACACATACATGACAGACACCTACACATACTATATACAACGTATGTATAGACCCATACCCCTACATATACATAACAAATAAATATTAAATACTGTCCATCTTGAATATATAACAGAAGGAGGAAGCTTGAGAATTCACAAGGTTAATGCTGTATGGAATGAAACTGTGGCTGAATCTGGATGTTCTGCTATAGATACCATGAAGCCTCCTCCCAGAAGGTAACAAGGAAAACAGGTCATGGAGAGAAATATTATCAAAAAGAATTATTTTTTTAAAAAAAATCTTCCCGATATAAAATCTCAAACCCACATTTTTGAGGCGCTTGATATCTGCTTTTTCTTCCTGCTCCTTCCGGCGTTTCTTCTCTTGAAGAATTTCATCTAACGTTTTCACCTTCCACGATTCCTTTTCATCACCCATTTGTGTTACAAAAAGCACTAGGAGAGAACACAAACGCACAGTGAATGGCACTAGAAGTCGCTGGAATCTACACCCACAGCAAGGGAAGTGTTTCCTTGGCCTCCAGAAAATCCAAAATCTAAAAGTAAGCCCCAATTTATCAGTTCATTTCTTCTGGGCAATGCATCTATGGATGCCTTCAGGCCGGTCCATTGACCAACGGAGGGGGAATTTCAATCCATTTTTGTGCTGGACGACAAGAAGTTTCTCCTGAAAGTTATTTGGGGCTATATAAATGAATAATATAAGTTAATATATAAATAACTATATAAGTTATTTATATATTAAATTCATTTATATATTAAATGTACAGGTAATTCCCAACTTACAACCTTTTGTTTCGTGATCTTCTGAAGTCACAGTGACCCTGAAAAAAGTGACTTACGACCGTTTTTCACACTTACGACCGTTGTAGCCTCCCCATGGTTAAGTGATCAGAGTCAATGGGGAAGTCAGAGTCACTTGACCACCCTGTGACTAACGTTAACTGCAGTGCTTCACTTAACAACTGTGCCAAGAATGGTCATTAAAAAGGGCCAGTTAACAACCGTCTCGCTTAGTAACAGGAAATTGAGGCTCCATTGGGGTCGTTAGTCGAGGACTTCCTGTATCTCACAAACTGAATTCAGCTCAAGGAAGCATACGGAGCGCTCGCTCCTCTGGTTTTTCCCCACAACAGCCCTGTGAGGTAGGCCGGGGCTGAAGGAGCCCCCATCGGCCCAAAGTCGCCCAGACTTTTATCTTTTTATCGTAAAAGAGTCAGGAGCCCAGAGGAATAACTGAGGGGAAAAACCCATACATTTGTTTTGTTTTTAAAGCTTAAAACTGTGAAGACATTTATATATATATAAATAAATTTATACTTATTTATTATCAATTTAATTAGATAGATAGATAGATAGATAGATAGATAGATAGATAGATAGATAGATAGATAGATAGATAGATAATAAATAAATTTAGAGAAGCACAACAGGCCGCTCCTCCCCCTTGAAAAAACACTTTTCCACAGTGGCCCGCCAAAATACCAGCCCTCAGAGGTAGGCCACCCGCCTCAGCAAGCCGCCCTCTCGGCCCACAGAGCCCCGCTGCCGCCCTCTGAGCCGCTCCGCCGGGCCTGAGGCTGCGGGAAGCGGAGCAGGGCCCAGCAAGAGACCGGCCTCACCTTCCCTCACGCCCCCGGCGCCGCCACCGCTCCTTAAACACGACCCGCTTGCCGGAGACGGAGCGCCCGGAAGCACGGCCTCGGGCCTGCGCTCCACCTCCGGCGCGGGGGGATGACGTCTCGCGAGGGACTTTGCCGTCGCCGCAGAAAGCCTCTCAATTGAAGCTCGACGATTCGTAGATGTTCGAAAAGGGTAGAGTCGCGTCGCTGGCCATACTTCCGGGCTCAGCCTCTCTCGCTCCCCTTCTATCAGTGCGGCTCCCAGTAGAAAAAAAAAAAACTTAAATAGATTTAAACTTTATTCTGTAGAATTTAAAGCAGTGTTTCTCAACCTTGACCATTTTAAGGCACGTGGACTTCAACTCCCAGAATTCCACAGCCAGCAATGCTGGCTGTGGAATTCTGGGAGTTGAAGTCCACGTGCCTTAAAATGGTCAAGGTTGAGAAACACTGCTTTAAAGTATGTCCGATTTCCTCTGGCAAGGATTGTGCAAGCTTCCTGTAAACCTCAGTGGAAAAATTGTCCTTAGGCTACTTAGTCAGAGAAAACCCTTGCAAGAATCCTACTTTTTTTTAAAAAAAAAAAAAAACTTTTAAAATACTTCTCCAAAATGAAACATTTACAACCTAAAAGAAGCGTTTCTCAAATCTGGCAACTTAAAAAGGTGTGGACTTCCAACGCCCAGAATTCCCACTCATCTGAAAGTTGCCACCACTGACAAACACTAGCCTCAAGGATTACACGGGTAGTCCTCAGAGTTATGACCATTGTTGAGCCCCAGATTGCTCAGCGAGACAGATGTTAAGTGAATTTTGCCCCATCTTACAACATTACTTGCCACGGTCGCTTAAGTGAATCACTACAGTGGTTAAGTTAGTAACACGGTTGTTAAGTTGGTCAGGTCGCAAAAAGGGGATCACGTGACCCCGGGACCGTCATAAATACAAATCAGTTGCCAAGTGTCTGAATTTTGATCACGTGACCGTGGGGATGCTGCAAAGGTCGTAAGTGTGAAAAACAGTCATAAGTCCCTTTTTCCAGTGCCGCTGTTAACTTCAGTCACTAAACAAAACGTTACAAGTCAAGGACTGCCTGTAGCTAGGAGAAACAAAATAAAAAGTAGTTTTTTTTCCCAGATATGAGCTGAAAAGAGTTGTGTGTTTCCAAATGGCCTTCTGGGCAAAAAGGGACGTTTACAGCTTCCATTTTAATTCTGACTGGCAGCCTATCCGTTGGGGTGGACTCATCTGCTCTGTATCCTTGCACTAATTCAGTGTTTCTCAACCTTGACAATTTTAAGGCATGTGGACTTCCAACTCCCAGAATTCCACAGCCAGCATTGTTGGCTGTGGAATTCTGGGAGTTGAAGTCCACATGCCTTAAAATTGTCAAGGTTGAGAAACACTGCACTAATTCAATGCGATACGACTTTGCTATAAAAATGCCACAGGGTGATGATGGTCATATAAAGAGAAACAGATGCACCGTCAGTGATGTTTCCATGTTTATTTGCTCGACACAGACTTCTGAGAACAAAACAGATACAGGATTACACCTCACTGTAAAAGTTTCTTTTTTGGAGGGGGGGGGGGAACTCCCTACAACAAGCAAATCCTAAATGATTTGTGTCTTACACAGGTCAGGAAAAGTTATCCACAGGATTGGACTAGTCAAGATTGCAAAGTGGTCATCGGAGCGATGCTGAGTTGCTGATGCTGATAAAAAGCAAGAGCACCCCCCCCCCGGTTCTTAAATCCAAATTCTTGGCATCTGAGACGTTGACAATTTGGCCCCAACACACAAAGCACCAGGAAAACATTTGTTTTCAAGTATGCCCAGGAAAAAGAGAAAACCTTTCGGCATTTTGGAGGGACCGAGAGCGGGGAGCCTGTTCTGCCTGAGAAACTTTGCATCCAAAGTCCAGCGCTCCGCATATTCTCTTTAACAAAAGAAAGCAGTGTTTGCGTTACCCTTTTCGCACAAAGACTAACAAAACTGAGTTGGGGGTGTGTGAGAAGGAACAGAGAACAACATTTGGAGCGGGGCAACCCGTTGAGGTTCTTGGCTGACAAATCAGGAAATGTGGAATGAAATTTCTTCACTCTGAAATTAAAAACTTATTAACGTTATTTTTTTCCCCCTACAATTAATAACTGAGCACGCTGAGTTCAGACGGACCGTAGCAAAGACAATCCATACAGGCTGAGCGCTTCAAGCTGCTCAGTTCATGGGAATCTGCCTGGCTCAAGTGGTTTTTACTTCTAAGGAAGCTGCTAACGATCCGTGAAGAAGCCACCAGGACTGGAAGGATTTGTCGTCAACTAGGAGAGAATTAGTTCAATGGTCCCAGAGTAGCAAAACTAGGTTTAGACGGATATGCGATGACGTGAAGACAGCTTCCCAAAGTCCCGATGGGATTTTCAAACATTACTTGGAGAGGGCATTGCTGCGTGAAATCTCCTTTCCTTCTTTAGCAGCTTTTTGGTTATTTGATTGCTAGGTGGTGTCATACCACACGATCCAGGACGATACGCCATTTTCTGCTCATTTCACGATCCCAAAAATGTCGGGTCTTAAAACTCAGGAGAAGCCTTTTCCCAAATTGCTTCTTGATTGCTATGAGCAGGGCACCAGATCCCAAGAGTCGCCTGGGTTTATTGCCTGCGCTCGACAGCACGGAAACAAAAATTAAAACAAAACTCGAGCAGTCTCTCCTTTGCCTTCTGTACAAAATGTTTCTCAGCTCTGCCCCACAAACAAGCAATGAGCTCCGTTCTGAGGTTGAAGCTGAAAATCGTAGCTTGGTCGGCATGGGGTCGGGTGGGGTGAGAGGCTGCCGTGGGTCAAAACTGCTGAGGATATCTCAGCAGCAAATCTTCGGACGGTTTCATCCAGAACTCAAGACTTAGCAAAGGATGTGCTGGGACGGAAGGCCAGTGGCACAGTTGACACCCTCTCCACCACGCTGAGATCCTGCTGTTCCCGGCAAAGACATTGGGTGATTTTGGGGCTTTTTGAAGCCGATGCTTTTCCAGTTTTGTAACTTTGGGAGGATGGCAAACTTGGCTGGATTTCACGTCGGTCCGGTGGAGGATGGACCAAAAGTGACTTTGAATATGGTGGGTGGCAGAATGTAAAGCTCTTCCATCCAATGCTTGTGATTCTCACCTGGTCTTTGCGTCCGTTTTTCTGATCACAGCACCTTGCTGTGCCTTGCGTGCAAGATGGGCCTTCTGGGGGAGGGTACCGAGGGCTTCAAAAGAAAAATATCGTTCGTCTAAACTTCCATGTAGCAAAAATTAAGGCCGAGGTGCAGGCAGAGGTCTCATTCGAACGGATGGGGGTCTTTAGAGAGGAGAGGCTCAGCGTCTTCATTAGTTGCTGGAGAGGGTTGGGGGGCTGGGGCTGCTCCCACCAGATTCTGGAGGATTTCCTGCTGCTGCTGCTTGGCCCTGTTATACAGCAGGACCCCGATGATCACCAGGACTGTCCCGATGGCCGAGAGGCTGGTGATCTTGTTCCCAAAGACAATGATGCTGAGCCAAATGGACAAGGCGTGCTTCACCGTGCTGGCAACACTGGGGAAGGAGAGGAAAACAGGAGGAGACTGAGAAAATTGGGAGTAATTTCACACCCAGGAGGTGCCTAGGCAGAAGTTAGGTAGGACTAGGAGGAGATTCTAGGTGGATCAGGCCCAATCAGTGATCCCCAGGAAACTGACTGCAGATCTTAATAGATGAAAACAACGAAAACCGTTATTGCTCTCCCGCTCTGCCAAAACCAAGACAAGCTGCAGCCCTTGCCATACAGCCAGGGATGATGGGCGCTATAGTCCAGCTGCCCTGGAGGGCCTCAGGATCAGGAAGGCCACGCTAAACGGGAGCCAGGAACCTTTGCCAAGCTAGATGAAGCCACCCCAGGGCTTCCTTTGTAAATCTACCACTGAAATAAAGGGGTTTCTTATCGGATGATGACCCTATGGTATTTCTGGAGGGGGGGGGAGAGCTTACCTGAAAGTTACGGGGGAAATTTTGCCCATCAAGGCATAAGCGGTGACACTTTGGAGGTGGAACAGCACTCCATCCATCAGAAGCAGCACCACGATGTCCTGGTTGTACTGGAAACTCCGCCCGCTTTTCCCAATCACCGGCATATCCTTCCAGACCGGAAGAGAAGGAAGGAGACAGAAGAGGGGGCAGGGCAGGAGGTTAAAAGGAAGGTGGGGCGTGCCAGGCGCTCAATTTGAGACCTTCTCCCAATTTTACGCCCTATGGAACAAAAGACCCTTGGAGTGCTGAAGGAAACACCCTTATTGACCTGGGACTGGCAACCCAAAGCCAGGCATCGAGTCGTTTTCAAGCATATAGCTAGGTCGATCCAGGGAAGTCTTCCCCTCTCTTCCCAGCAGGTGACTGGAAGGAGCGGAAAGGAGAAAGGGAAAAAGGAAGGAGTGGGAGAAAGGAAGAAAAAGAGAGGAAAGAGATGATGCGAGAATGAATGGAAGGACGGAGGGAGGGAGGAAAGGAGGAGAGAGGTAGAGAGGGAGGGAGGGAGGGAGGGAGGGAAGGAGGGAAGGAAGGAAGGAGGGAAGGAAGGAAGGAAGGAAGGAAGGAAGGAAGGAAGGAAGGAAGGAAGGAAGGAAGGCAATGAGAAAACAGGAAGGTAATGAGAGAAGAATGGAATGGAGGAAGGAAGGAAGACAATGAGAAAAAAGGAAGGTAATGAGAGAAGAATAGAATGGAGGAAGGAAGGAAGGAAGGAAGGAAGAAAGGAAGGAAGGAAGGAAGGAAGGAAGGAAGGAAGGAAGGAAAAAGGGAGGGAGGGCACGGGCAAAAAAACAGTCAGAAAAGAGAAAAATGGCGCTTCCACTCAGTTTGGGCCCCACCTGCCAAATGCTGGCTTGCAACTTTGCAACCTTTCCCAACATTCCCCAAGTCTGTGTTCTACTACACTACAAAACAGAAAAGTCAGCTGTGGCCTGGTGGCAGAACACACATCTCACCATGAAAAAGACCCAGGCAGGGATAAGCATGATCACCGCAGCTGCGCTAGTGTAGAACTGAAGCTCAGGAGCACTGCAAAAAAGAGAGAGAGAGAGAGAGAGAAAAAAAAAAGAGAGAGAGAGAGTTGAAAAGGAATGAGAGAGAGAGAGAGAGAGAGAGAGAGAGAGAGAGCTGAAGAGGAATGAATTCCGTAAACCAAACAATTATTCCAACTTTATCTGCAATATAGGTCGTCCTCTCCTTACGACCGCTCATTCAGTGTCCGTTCAAAGTTACAACGGCACTGAAAAAAAGCGACACGACCGTTTTTCTCGCTTATGACCGCTGCAGCCTCTCCAGGGTCACGTGAACGAAACTCCAGACGCTTGGCCACAGACTCGCATTTACGACGGTCGCAGTGTCCCGGGGTCCTGTGATCCCCTTTTGCGACCTCCTGACAAGCAAAGTCAAGGGGGAAGCCGGATTCACTTAACGACCGTGTGACTAACTGATCGGCTGCAGCGACTCGCTTAACGACGCGGACAAGGAAGGTCGTAAAGGGGAACAAAACTCACCTAACAAATGTCTTGCTCAACGATAAAAAAATTTGGACTCAGTTGTGGTCATAAGCCAAACTGCAAACTGCAAAGACCTGGGTTCAGATCTCCCAAACTGTCTTACACCCCTATAAAACTATTGCCCAGGTCTTTTTTATGACAAATTGGGAGATCTGAACCCAGGTGTTTGCTAAACGGGTCAGTTTACAGCCCCTACGGACTAGAAGGGCCCCAGAGGAAATTGAGGTAGGTCACTGGGAGCGGAGGAGAGCGAGGCTTCTGTTCAATCATAGCAATGAGGACCAGATACTTACGAGAAACGGTATTTGTCCCCACTCAGCAGCTTTTTGGAGAAAACATTCTGCAAGCTGCAAAAAGGAGAAGGAAGCCGCGTAGGTTTCAAAGGTCAGGAAGGTTAAAAATAACTCTGCAGGTGTTTTCTAGATAAAAGTCCCACTGTTCTAGATGAGGAGAGAAGCTGTTTGTCAACTGTTCTCCTTTATGCAGAATCCCCCCGAGACACTTACCAATCCATAATATTTGTCGACAAAGCTGCTGAGAAGCCAAGGATGTTGAAACTCAGCTCGGTTGCAGTACACAAGGCCAGCCCGCCCATCACGGGGATCAGAGACAAGTTCACAACCAGCCCTGGGACAATCCGAGGCAGAATGAGAAATCAGAAGAGAAGAATAGAAACTGTGTGGTTTGGTTTTTTTTTTAAAAAAAACCCCAGCCAATTAAAGACTTTTGGCCAACCTGACTTGTGTTTGAGGTTCAGGGAGATTGCAAAGTGCACCACAAAGGGCAGAGCAGTGTGTTTGTTTTATTCATTTGCATCCCGCCTTCACTGTTTTTATGAACAACCCAAGGCTATGAATATATTCAATATATTTTTCCCCACAACAATCTTGTGAGGTGGCTTGGGGGGGGGGAGAGGGAGAGGGAGAGAGACTGAGACTTGCCCAAATTCACCCAGCAGGCTTTCTTGGCCCAAATTCACCCAGCAGGCTTTCTTGGCTATGGTGGGATTTGAATTCATGGCCTTCTGCTTTCCAGTCTGGTGCCTTAACCAATAGACCAAACTCTAAGCGTTGATAGGATGGGCGGACAGACTCTTCCAGATGTGTGGTCAAGCTCCAGCAGCTTTCAAACATCTTGCCAGTGAGGACTTCTGGGAGAGGACATTGAGCAACATCTGGAGGATTGATGGGATGCCTCCAACTTGCTTCCAATATGGAAGTCAGATAGGCAGCCAAGATGGTGGAACAAGTGAAGGCCTTTAGCCAGCTGGGTGAAGCTAGGACTGGGGAGATACAATTCCCAAAGCATCTTGCATTTTTACACTGCTGGTTTCTGAAATCTTTCTTGTAGGATGACACAAAAACCAAACAGGCCAGTGGGACAGAGACGACAATTCCCCAAAAACATATTTTAAGCCCGGAGGAAGAAGAAAATATTAAAAAAAAAGAAATTCAAACTGGCCCCGGAACTTTATCTTATTGAAATAGACAATGGTTTTTGGACCTTGAAAGCTTGACTGCATCACTAAGAGTATCTAAAAGGGAAGGAAGATGCAGTCAAGCTTTCAAGATCCAAAAACTTTTGTCTATTTCAATAAGAGAAAGTTATGGATTTTTGTTGGTTTTTTTGAGGAATCTGATTGCTGATGTAGCCCACCTCGAAGGATCGGCAAATAATGGAGAAAATCATCAGCTCAAAAGCTCGCCAGGGTTGAATGTCTGACAATCAGGAATTAAGGCTATGTGGGCAGAGCTTTTCCTTAATATTGATTAAAAACTGCTCCCAAGATAGGAATTATCAAAAGATATCCTACATACTATGGTCAGTTTCACGTTTAAGATATATTGATTTCAGCAAAACGTACCGGTATATTCTCCTAAAATCATGCGGGACATAATAACGGTAAAAATGGGCGCTGAGCTTTTCACTGTCTCGGCAAAGGAAACGGCCACGTTTTTCAAGCTGACGAGCCCCAAAACCACAGTTGCAAATCTGAGAAGGAGCAAGGGAAAAGTCAGCAATGGAAGACTTTAGTTTTTTACCCAATACCTGAATCTATAAATCTATTTTTCGGTTAATGCAGTGGTTCTCAACCTGTGGGTCGGGACCCCATTTGGGGTCGAACGACCATTTCACGGGGGCCGCCAAACAACGCAGTCCGCCATTTTTTCCCCCTTTTCCTTAGCTGTGCTACTCCCTTTTATTCTATTGGCTTTTGAAAGCCAATAGAATAGACTCTCTTGAATAGAGTCTAATTCTATTGGCTTTCAAAAGCCAATAGGAATTGTCCAGGCTGTCTCTGCCCTGCTGAGCCTGCCAAAAGTCCCATTCTGCAAACAGTGCTGCACCAGTTGAGTAGTCCTCGACTTACGACCGGTTGGGGGTCGCGGCATTAAAAAGGTTGAGAACCACTGGGTTAATGCATAGCTGATTATAGAGAAGTAGTCCAGAAACATCTGAAAAGTGGAAGCTTTTTAAACAGCTAATGCAAGAGCAGATTAATTTTATTTTATTTTTTTTAAAAAAGAAAATTCTCCAATGTTTGTCTCAGAGGATTCCTCCAAAAATGCTAACGTAAAAAAATAATAATAACTTAGTTTTCTCCAAGGGGGAACACAGATTTGGATTTTGGGGGAGGGGGGAGGGAAGAAAGATAGGCATCCAGCAGTGAAGAAGTGACTCAGTTTCTCAAAATGTGCCCAGGCCTTACCGCATCAGGCCAACGAAAAGCATAATCATGATGAAATTGGAAGGATAGGAGAGACGGCTTTTGTGCTGGTAAAGACAACAGGGCACAAACATTTTGACGCAGCCAATGAAGGTGGTGGAGAGCATCTGAACGGCGCCTGGGGAAAAAAAAAGCAGAAACAGAGATGCCTAAAATTAGGATACCAATAGAAGAAAAGGGAGTAGCACAGCTAGGAAAGGGGGGGGGGAATGGCGGACTGCGTTGTTTGGCGACCCCCGTGAAATGGTCGTTCGACCCCAAATGGGGTCCCGACCCACAGGTTGAGAACCACTGGCTTAGGCTAAAGAAAAGCTCAGGGTGTTTGCAAACTCAAGATGGAGGGAATCTAAGACAGGTGGACCTCAACTCCCAGAATTCCCCAGCCAGCATGGCTTGTCCACATGCCTTAAAGTTGCTTCCCGTGACAAGATGCAGTTGGCCTCTCCCAGGTTGGGCACAAGGAAGAAAATGACCGTGGTTTACTTGCCTAACATACTTGGTTCCCCTTCCAGCAGCGACAAGATGTACTTGTTCAGAAAAAGGGTGCAAAAGCTGAAGAAGAACCACAGCGTGAGGTAGGTGAGGGCGTAGGAACTCCAGATGCCCAGGTCCGACTCAATCACTGTGGTCTCCGTGATGGTGATCTTCAGGACGTTCTCTTCCGGCACGCTGTCGCTCCGGGCAATGACGAAGCGTTCGCTCCGGCCGTGGAAGAGAGGGCCCAACTGGAAGAGGTTTTTCGCTTTGGGTTTGTCATCCAGAAGAGGTAAAGTGAGGGAGGTGGAAAGGTCCGAGTCGGCCGGGTCCAAGGTGGAGCTGCTGGTTAGGGTGGCCATGTTGTGAGGTGGGTCCTGAGGCTCAGCTCCCGAAGTAGAGCCTTCGATCTTGAGAAGGCAGCCCCTCCGAGTCTCCTTGGCTCGCAAAGAGCTTCAGGTGCATTTGGTCACATGTGGCTCCATTGTCTGGAAGGAAGGAAGGAAGGAAGGAAGGAAGGAAGGGAAAGAAAGGAAAGAAAGAAAGAAAGAAAGAAAGAAAGAAGGAAGGAAGGAAGGAAGGAAGGAAGGAAGGAAGGAAGGAAGGAAGGAATGGGGAGGGGGAAAGAAAGAGGGAGGAAGGAAGGAAGGAAGGAAGGAAGGAAGGAAGGAAGGAAGGAAGGAAGGAAGGAAAGAAGGAAGAAAGAGAAAGAAAGAAGGAAAGAAAGAAAGAAAGAAAGGAAGGAAGGAAGGAAGGAAGGAAGGAAGGAAGGAAGGAAGGAAGGAAGGAAGGAAGGAGAGAGAAGTTTGGACATCAGAGCATGAATAAAGTAAACTGAATTCCAACTTTAGGATTCTATGAGTGCTGGATTTTAATCACCAACACACTCCTGGGCATTTATTGCAGGCTTCACAAACAGATACCCTTCACTTATCTGGGACAAGTCCCAGACACCCCTGGAACACTTGAAGCGTCCAGCATTGGAGAAGTAGTTCTATTTATTTTCACAGTTTATATTTATTTATTTTTTACATGCAACTGTTCTCCTCTCAACCCACAACAATGCCTTGTGGAACATACTTCCTCTTCTAGCCAACCTCTCCAGCTGGTTTAGGAGGGGATTACCTTTTTAAAATGCAAACACACCGCTACAATAGTAAGAAAACTCAGGTTTATTCAGATGCCGCTCAGTGAAATGGGTGGCCGTTTAAATTTAATAAATCCATAAAACAACCAAACAAGATGATACTAGTCCTCTTTACGTCCAGTTCTATATGCAGGTAGTTCCTTGACGTATGACCACAATCAAGCCCAACATTTCTGTCGCTAAGTGAGACAATTAAGTGAGTTTTGCCCCATTTTACGACTTTTCTTGCCGCAGTTCTTAAGCTGTTGTTAGTCACACAGCTGTTAAGTGAATTTGGCTTCCCCCCTGGCTTTGCTTCTCAGGGGGATCACACGACCTCGTGACGCTGCAACCGTCATAAATACGAGTCAGTTGCCAAGCATTGGAATTTTGATCATGCGACCCTGAGGATAATGCAATGGACATAAGTGTGAAAAACGGTCATAAACCACTTTTTCCAGTGCCGTTGTAACTTCGAACAATCACTAACTAAATTGTCGTAAGTCGAGGACTTCCTGTACTCATTTTCAACAAACTACAAACAGACAGGCAGCTAAACGTAATTAGTGGGGGTTTTTTTCCCCTCCATGATGAAATATTTCTCTTCCTATTTTTTTATATCTACCCAGTCCACATTGCCCTTCTGCCACTGTCTGCAGAAATCCTGTACTAAATTTCCCCAAATCACTGCGGTTCCAATTAAAATGGATTTGCAGAGCAGTGGATATTCAGCCCTGAAGTATCCTTGCTTCTCCAGAAAGCCACAAAAAAAACGGAGCCAAGCAAACAGCTGCTGTCAGAAGTTAAAATCGGTTTGACTGGCTGGGAGTCAAATGGTCGGAAGAGGTAGAAAATTGAGCTGTGACCTGGCGCCACGTCTTTCAAAGCCCATCTCTGCCAAAAAAAAAAAAAAAAAAGTTCCACAGAAGTTCTAAGAAAAGGACGTCAAACAAGGGAGCAGTTTTGCGGTTGCAAGATTGCCAAACTAGATTTTCATCAAAAGCAGACCATCTTACAGCTAAGGGCACTCAGTCCGATAGAATATCAAACCAAAAAGGTAATACTGTAATGGTGATAATGAGAGTTCAGTTGAAATGAAATACAGTGAGATGTTTATTTTCATTCTCCCTACCAGAAAGCAGTCAGCTGAAGAGAGAGAGAGAAAGAGAGAGAGAGAGAGAGAGAGAGAGAGAGAGAGAGAGAGAGAGAGAGAGAGAGGGAGGCTGTTGGGAAGTAAACAAGCAGAGAGAAATAAAATAGATGGCAAAGTAAGTAAGAAAGGGCATTGTTTCTTCAGTAAGGCTGGGTGCGTGATCTTGTGCTAACGCCAACGTCTCTCTGGGCAAAGGGCAGATTGATAAGTCAAGTTCAAAGTTTAACAGAAAAAGGTTTTGAAGGAAGTTACACTTGGCCCCAAATGAAATTACAGTCCGATGGACAAAATGTAATTAAAAACAAGGTGGGCTTAATTCACCACCCTGGATTCGCCTGGCTGTTAGAAAAAAAACAACTTAAAAAAAAAATCCTTAACAAAGCTGACTGGAACAAACACTCATTTAAAAAGCCTTCCAAAAAGCCAGTGGTGGTATATGTAAGATGTACTGTATATAAAGCATTTTTTTCCCTCCCACAATGAATCTTCCTTAATTCCAGTCAAAATTATTCAAGTTGCAAAATCTGCTGTCTACTCAAGGTGAAAGGAGCAGTCTGTGCTTGTGCAAAAAAAAATCAAGAGACCTCATATGTGTGATTCCAGAAATTATACATACAACATTTGGCAACATTTCTGAAAGCTGCCTGTTTCAAGATAAGGGACGAGAACCTTCAACATCAAAGTCACAAGTAATGAGAAGTTAAAAATTGGCAGCCTTTTGATTATTTGGTTTCATACTGTGCTTTCTCCCCTGTGCATTATCTTTCCTTATGTCCAGGTCTACAAATATACTTGCCAAATGACGATCCTTTGTGCAGCCAACTCTGCCCTTGAAAAATTAAACAAATGTGCTGAAGGAGCAAGAAAAATGCTGTTTTCTTAGGGAATTTCCAGTCCCTGAAAGCACCAAAATGCAACTGATCAAGAATGAACTTTTTTCAGTCAGAGCTGTGATAATGGAAACCTTTTAACCTTTTTCAGAGGTTACTTATTAGTATTAAAGATGAGATGGTAGCAATCCTCATCAGCTACTATGTACTCCTTTAAGCTTCATGTACATCAGCGCTCTCAATATGCCTATTCATAGTATAGTCCTGTTACAGAAAAAATCATGTGTATATATACACTGAAACAGAGAAAGTAAATAAAAATGCAATGGCGTATGGCTCTCATAATTTTTTGAATACTGTACAGTAACGTAGCCATGATGATATACAAACAATATTTTATCACTCTCTCCCTTGCTATAACTCTTTTGTCTGATTAAAGATACATTAAAGTTAACACAGATTTATTCATAAATAATAAAACATTTGAACAAATAATTCAATTTTCTGGGTTCCTCTTGAATTTCAAGGGGCTTAGCTTTAGCAGACCAATGAAGGTTTATGCCACAGTGATTCACATTATATACCTACTGTAAAACAATTCTAAAAAGAATCCGTTCAGATTATTTCCAAACTTATCTTCTGTCTAGCTCCTGAGGGTAATTCAAGCACCCCGCTCACTTTTCTCAGCTGGGACAAAATTCAACATGAAGCCTCTTCGTCAAAAGTTATTAATTTCATAAACAAAGAACTGCAACACATCCTGCAACAAACAATGAAAACATATACAAAGACAGTCCTCGTTTCTAAATCAATTTCCTTTCGCAGTTGTGGAGGCAGAAAAGGTCGGCTTGTCAAATGTCTCTAGAACAGCCCTTTCAAAACCCCAGTTGCACATTATGCCTCCCTGCAATGCAGCGCAACACAATTGTGTCCGGACTGTCCTGTACAAACACACCTGCCTCTGTTCTCTGGCAGATCCTGTCCTCTTCTTCCGCAGCCATCACCGGGGCTACCTCCATCAGATAGGGAGGCCAGCCTGCTACGAAAACGGCTCCCCCTTTGCCAGGGGCGGAGCAAATCAGAGGCGGGGAGGAGAAAAAGACAAAAGATAGAGAAATTAGCAATGTGGCTAAGAGCCGCGCATAGGCCAGGTTTAACTTGTGCGTGGTTATGACTCTGGGCATGCGTAAAATGCAAATTGCTTTCAGACTCACATTTCCTATATGGAAAAGAACAAACCTCAGTGATTCCCAAATTCAATGTTCTTTTGAGAAATGGCCCTAAAAAAAAAAACAGATGGAGCTGGAATAACCCTCACAATTATTATTTTTTTCAAAGACTATTTCAAGAATTGAGTATGTTTAGTTCAGTGAAAAGGACCAGGGGTGACACAGTAACAGTGAGCCAATATTTGAGGGGCTTTCACAAAGAAGAGGGGCTCAACCTATTCTCCAAAGCCCCCGAAGGCAAGAAAAGAAGTAAGGAATGGAAACTGGTCAAGGAGAGAAGCAACCTGGAACTAAGGATTTTCCTAACAGTGAAAACAATTAATCAGTGGAACAACCTGCCTTCAGAAGTTGTGGATGCTCCAACACTGGAAGTTTTTAAGAAGAGGCTGTACAGCCATTTGTCTGAAATGGTATAGTTTTTTCCTGCTTGAGCAAGGGGTTGGACTAGAAGACCTCAAAGGTTCCTTCCAACTCTGTTATTATTCTGTTACCCTGCCAATGTTTAAAGAGCTGGATTTTCTGAAGAGGGACAATGATTTGTCTGAAATGGTATAGGGCAGTGGTTCTCAACCTTTCTAATGCCGTGACCCCATAATACAGTTCCCCATGTTGTGGTGACCCCCAAGTGGGTGTGGCCACCAATAAGAGGGAGGAGGACAGCTAGGGAAAAGGGAACAAAATGGTGGACAGCATGGTTTGGCGACCCCCATGAAATGGTCGTTCGACCCCAAATGGGGTCCCGACCCACATGTTGAGAACCACTGGTAGAGGGTTTCCTGCCTGAGCAGGGGGTTGGACTAGATGACCTCCAAGGTTCCTTCCAACTTTATTATTATTGTTGTTAATATTATTATTGTTGTTATTATTATTATTCTCTTGCTGAGGCTGCAGGGATAAAAAGTAATTTTGGGACTAATTCAGAGACAACATACCACTGGAGTCTAAAGATTTGGTAGCAACAAGAGAAGCATTCCTTAACCTTTCAGGGTTTTTTTTTAATTGTATTCTATTTATTTGTCAAATTTATACACCGCCCATCTCACTGTCTAAATGGCTCTGGGCAGTTTACAAGTCAATTTAAAAATTGCTCATCCACTCTGGACTCCAGGAAGGTGTGCAAGATAGACACACACACAGCTCCCTAAGGGGAGCCTCAAACCATTTATGATCAAAGCCAAACAAGTTTCTAGTCCTGTGGAGATACAAGACCACAATCTTCACAGTTATTAGACATTCGTCTCTACATTTAAAACTCAAAACGAACTGAAACAGTGGTGAGGATACTGAAGTTGGAGGCCTCGCTTTCTACCACGCTTCCATTTACATGTTTGCTCAAATCTCTAGTCCTCTTGAGGCAACGGGCGTCTTCTCCTTTCTTTTGTCCAGAACAAGCAAGGAAAGGAATATTTAGGTCAGGATGTAAGAAAAAAATAAAATAAAAACTGCTTTATTGTCTTCTGAGACAGCTCAGGACTATGACACGCTTGGCCCTCAGCTTAGAAACGGGTAGCTACGGGATGGAGGAAGTGACGTCACGAGCGAGGAGTCCCTCTAGGCGTCTCTTTCTTTATGGCACCTCGGCTTCGAACTCGCCCGGAAGGCGGGCGCAGGACTTGAAAATGGCGCGTTTCCGCCTCGACCGGAAGTTGCTCTGCTCGGGCGAGGCCTTTCCTTCCTTCTCTATGGCCCTCGCCCGACACCACTTCCCGCACTTCGGAACGCCCGGTTCGTCGCTCGGCCGGGGCATGTAACGGTCGCCGTCGCCATGGAGACGCCCGACACGAGGTAGCAGCCGGTTACTGAGCCTTGCGGGGATCCGTACACGACGGTGGGGGGGGCGGGGGAGGGAAGCAGACGGCTTTCCGTTACAGCTCCGTCTCCCTGCCCGCGGCGTGACGTCAGTGGCATCACGGCGCCTCCCCTCTGACGTCATCGCACCCTCTGACGTCACGGCCCTCAGATGTGGGTTTGGGTTTTCAGCAGGAAAGGATTGTCGTCCCCCCAGTTGATAGTCTGGGAAGGGGGGGGCAAATGTGGGACTACAATCTCCATCATGCTGCCTGGGGAGAATGGAAACTGGGGTCTCAGTGCATGTGGGAGATGCCAGGCTGATGGGGGAGCCCGCTAGGTGCAACAGGGTGCGGTTGCATTTGATGCTTGTCCTGGTTAATGGAATCATGGTTTGTTTATTCAATCAGCCCAACTGAGTTTGCAGGATAGTGTGAATCCTAGCCCCACAATATTTGGGGCTAATCATCATTGGCCAGCTTGTAATTCCATGCGTCCGTGCAAAATAAACCTTAGTGTGGACCCATCCACCTCAGGAGGACTAGAAACTTAGCTTTCCACACATAACATATTTGCCTGAACCTCCATTTATATTATTCATTTGTTTCTTCGTCTAGGGTTCTCCTTTCCCAGTCAGAAGAAGCTCTGGCCTCTCCTTTGCCAAATGAAAGCATAAACTGTCCACTGCCAAATCTAACACCAAGACACCAAGACCTGATTGCCACACCGTGCGGCCCAGTAAGTATCTGGACTTCACCAAGCTTGTTAATTTCAATGAGGTGGTTTGAGCCATTGTTCCCGCGTGTGTAATATCTGGAGAAAGAACAGAAGTCTCTCTCGCCTAAGATGAGCTACACTGAGTCATTGCCACGAACTGCTTTCTGCTAATTTTATAAACGCGGCTTGCAGCAGCTGATGGCATCTCCCTGTCTTTCACCAGCTTCAAAAAGTAAATTATTGGATGGGACCAACCCAGATTGTGGGCTAAATGGGGAAGTTAAAGTCCAATTTGAAGGAGAATTTCTCTTTATGTTAGCTGCGCTCTTTTATCGTTCCAGATCAAACGATGGTCCGAGCTGTCGTCCCCGGTCAAGATCTACTTCTGTGTCACCATCCTTTCGCTGTTGAGTGTCATTGGATTAACCATAGAGACCCTCATCCAGCAGAAAAATGAAGATTTTACTGTGTCTCTCATCCAGATCATTGGCCTCGGTAATCTGACAAATCTTATAAACTAGAAAGATGGGGAGGGATCAGCTCTGATGGTGGAAAAATGGTCTTTTTCTATATACATTATATTTTTGACAGACATCTAGGCCCAGACTGTTCTAATTCTTATACAAAAGGCAAGAAGGGAATTGACTCTTTCTAAACAAAAACAAAAACCTGAAGGATAATTTACCCTCCTTTATATTTGGCTGTAGTTATGTAGACCCCAATTTGCATGCACAGTCCTAAGTCCGTCCTTCCTATTTTCGGTCTCAAGATCAGGTTTTAATCCAGTCAGTTCCTAGAGCATAACTACAGATGGACATCGACTTAACAACCACAACGTAGCTCAACATTTCTGAGAGTTGTTAAGTGTAGTCACTTTCATCTGGTTCGCAGCCATTTCTGCACCCCTAGGGAGGGATCAAGACTTGGACTCTCCCAACGATTTTGAAGCTCTGTTTATGGGCTTGCTAAAGTTTTGCATTGCCCTGTAAACTGCAAATAATATTCACTCCAGGCAGCACCTCTATCCTAGATTGTATAGGAACCCTCTCAAACTTCTCTGCCGCTTGAATCCTACTCTCGGCAGAGTTTCCACCCTGTATTTTGGCATTTTTTTGGTAAAGATCCAAAGACAGAGGAGACAGGCCTTGGAATGGCCCGGGGCAGTTTTCAAGAAGAACCCAAAACTTGGGCTTTGTGCCACTCCAGAATCTTGTTCTTTTTGGCCATAGAAAATAAACATTGTTTGTTTTTAATCCCTCCCTAGTTTATGTACCAGGAGAGTTGGATTTATCCCCAGCATTAAAGGAAATCAACCCCCATCGTGGTACAATATCTGAATCCATCCTTCTTGGTCTAGCCAAACCATAGTTAAAACAGGCCATGGCTTATCAAGGCTTTAGCACAGCAAACTGGCCATTTGTTAGCTACTTTTAGCAGGGATTTTCCTTTGTAGCTTTGCTTTTCACCAGTTGGGGAGTACTGCTAGTTGCTGTGGTACTTAAGAGGAGAAAGGCAAACTGTGATTCTGCAGCCTACATTGAATTGACCTTCCTAACTTTCAGACTGGATGGATCGGCCCGAGAACGGATGCTTCTTTTGCTTGGTGCATTTTAAATGAAGCAAGGTTCTGGCCCTTATGAAAACAAGGGAGGCAATTCAAGCCCAGAACTGATCTCAGGGCTCTGTTTTCGCCCCGAGAAAATCTCTTCTCCCCTTTTAGCTGGCTACTGATAACCAGGCCTTTCCCCCTTGGCAGTGTTCTGCATCTATTACGTCAGCCGAGGAATCCTGCAGGAGAATCGCCAGGAGCTGGTGGTCTTCGTCCTCTCTATCGCCTTGGTCATGCTGCGCTCCGTGATCAACTTCACCGTCCTCCCTGCCAAGCAGAAGCCGGAGTTGCTGGTGAGCATCTGGCTGGCCATCTTCCTCCCAACCCTTGTGATGGCGACGAGGCGTCCTGTTTGGGGAGGACCGGGGCCTCGGTGGGCTAACCGGGGCTCCCCTTGCCAGCCCCCTCATTGCCGTCTTCCGCCAGGCCCGCTTCGTCTTGATCCTTCTGGTCGGGGCCTTTGACGTCAGCTGCGCCGTGATCCTGATCCAGAGCGAGAGCCGGATGGCCTTCCGAGTGGGCGGGGCTTTGGAGAGCCTCCAGGCCCAGTATTTCATGCTGAACCTCTGCTTTTCCATGCTGACCTTTGACCTCCAGGCTCAGGTAGCTCCTGGCATCAAACCCTGTTCCTGTTTGAGTCCTAAGCCGAGATCCTGCCACTAAAGACCGCCAGCAGAGATGCTTTTTTGCCCACCTTTTAAAGAGTTCGGCCAGTTGGCCTTTTTCGGCCTGTGGTCCTCCCAAGAGCAGCTTGGACTACAGTTCTAAGCATTCTGCCGTGATGAGCCCTGTAGTACTGTCCTACTGGAAGCCACCAGAATGGGGATGATGGGTTATCTCGTGAAGCTGGGTGTTTTTTTTAGAATATTTCTATAATAGGTGGGCATTCCAGAGAAGGAGATAGCCTTCTTTATCCCCAGCCCCATATCCTACATGAAACCAAAGTCCTAACTATCGGTTCTTCAAGAGTTTGGAGATGAAAAGAGTTTCAGAAGGGGGGGGGGGACCTTTCCTGAATTAATCCTGTTTCCATTCTCAAGGTCCTGAGTGCAATTGGCTGTGTCGGTATACATTGGTGGATACTTTTTAAGTTTTATTATTTTTTAAAAAAACTTGTAAGAAACTCGGGAGCGAGCAAGCCCCTCAGAACAATTTATTTATTTATGAGACTTATATACCGCTTTAAGTGCAAGCACTCTCTAAGCGGTGTACACCAGTAAGCAATGTATATATATATTTACATTGCCCCCAACAATCTGGGTCCTCATTTTACCTACCCCGGAAGGATGGAAGGCTGAGTCAACCTTGAGCCGGTGAGATTTGAACCGCTGACCTGCTGAACACAGTCAGCTAAAGTGGCCTGCACTACTGCACTCTAACTGCTGCACCACCTCGGCTCAATCCAGATGGGCTGGGCCATTTGTGATAGAAAACTAGCTGTTTGTCAAAAAGGGTGAAGGAGAGAAAGGAATGGGTCACAGGGAAAAAAAGGGGGGGGCATGGCTGTATTGGATTCCTAAAGATCCCTGAAACGGTCAAGCAACGACATTGAACCACTGCCTGATTCAGGGGGTGGGAAGGTGATCTGCAGCTATGTCCTGTTGTCTGGCTGAGATCTCTCTTCTTCTATTTCCCAGCTCTGTTTGTCTGTTTTGCTGCTGACCACAACCCGGAAGATTTCAAGTCTGCACAGTGTGTTCCTGGCTGCTGGGATTTGCTGGGCTGTTCTCAAGGTTGCTTGTGGCATCACTGCAGTGAGTTATTTTCAATAACTGTCGCTTTGCCATCGTAGAATTCGGGGGGCTGTCCAGTTCTGTTAATGGCTGTTTTAACTCCCAACTACGCTAATATTTGTGGAGAACTTCTTTCAAAGACGGCGCCCGCTCCTGTATTTTACAGCTAAAATGGATGTGATAGGCTTCTTTTTCAACCAACGAGCCTTTAGTCACCCGTGCCTTTTTTTTTTTTTTAGATCTTGAAAGAGTTGAAACCTCTCGCCTGGATTTTTGTGCTTCAGAATTTACCAGAAGTGGCTTATCTAGCCTATCTGTTGTACACAGTAAGTCTTGCCGAACGGTTTACTGATTCCAGGAGGATAAGGGGGAATTCCTCTGTCGTTCAGAGGCAGCCCTGGGTAAGAAGGAAGTTAAGGGGGGCAGAACCTTTACCCCATGTCCTGAAGTGGAATCCGGAGCCCAAAGGAACAAGAAAACGCAAGTCCCCAGAGCATGTCGCCTCTTTAAAAGGTGCCCAAGGTTTTAGGGAAATTGGTCCCTAAGGCCGATGAGACCTTTGTGGAGGAGGAAACAAAAAAAAAACAAAGAAAAAGCCAAGTGCCAGTTTTGAAATTTGAAGAAGCCCCCTTGGTTATACTTTAATGATAAAAGTTTGGTCTCCATCCATAATGTTCAGAGCTCAGCCATAAATACCTTCAGATCAGGGGTCTTCCAACTTGTCCCTTTTATGACGTGTGGACTTCAACTCCCAGAATTCCTCAGCCAGGCACGAGGAATTCTGGGAGTTGAAGTCCACACGTCATAAAAGGGACAAGTTGGAAGACGCCTGCTTCAGATGGATCCCATCCAAGGATGTAGGCCCAATTAAGACATGCTGTTTGATCCAGTGACTCAAACTGCGGTCAACCAACTTAGTTAATCATTGGTGCCTTATCACAGAGATCTGTTAAAACCAGGAACAGTCTGTTGTTGAACGCCGCAGTCACCACTTCAGTGATTTTTTTTTTCAACCCTAAAGCTATGCTTCTCAACCTCAGCGACTTTTAAGATGCGTGGACTTCAATTTCTGGAATTCTGGGAACTGAGGTCCACACATTTTAAAAGTTGAGAAACGCTGATCTAAAGAAAGGCAGATAAGTCAAGGAAACAGCTAATTGGGGCAGCATTCAAAACACCAGCTGAAGGTCCCTTTGGAAAAGCCTCAAGGTAAAAAAAAACACAGATTTTTGAAGGCTTCGCAAAAGCCCTTTAATGTCAAAACCGGCTGGAATGTTTCTCCTAGTCACGGCAGAAAAACCGCCGGCAGCCTTGAACACAACAATCCCATTCTTTTGAAAAAATAAAACAAGAGATAATCTTTCAGCAGTTCTCAACAGTGGGATTAAGCAGAGAGAGATAAGAGGAACAATTTTCTCATATATAAGATCCTAATTAGGCATTAGAACATCCGTGGATCTCGGTGTTCCGATCCAATAGAGCACACTCTGATCCTAGGGCACCGTCTTTTTCCTTTATCTCACAACATCCTTGCAAGGTAGATGGCACGGAGAGATTAGGCCAGGCAGAGCCAAAGCACCACCTTTGGAAACCCACCGACAAACCAGGATCAAAAGAAACGGTGGCTTAGTGTGTGTGAGATTCCCAGCTTGTGGCTGCAAACCTTGGCTTGTTAAATTTTGCTGTTTGCGAGGAATGTGCTACAGGGTCTGCGGTGGGATACTTTGAAATGAAAGCAGGTGTGAGTTTCATTCCACTTTGGGACTAATTGTTTTACAGTTACAAATGTTGTTTATCCGTGCGAGATGTGGGCTTTTTTTCCCCCTGTTCAGGTCATAACAGAATGGGGCCAAGGAAGTTCTTACGCCCTGGAAGCGGCCATCATCACCTGCTCCTGCATTTCGGTGACGATCAAAAGCGTCCTGTTTTGGGCAATGTTCCATGTCTATCAGAGCTTTGGGCAAGGCCTGAGAGAGAGGAGTGAGTATTAGAGACACAGGAACGGTGTCTGGGAGTAACTTCAGAGTAGGGTGGGTCTCTTCGGCGGGCAGCTGGGACGGGGACTGAGAATAAGGTTCCACTTGGCTAAGGCGAATCCCTCTTTTTCAAATCCCGTCGACCGATTCAGCCCGGCAATTAAATAGGAAAGCCTAGAGGCCCCCTGACATCAGCAGAAAAGTCCTCCAAACCAAGCCAGGCAAAGCTGTGGCCACCATATGGAAGCCTACCCATTAGGGATCACAGCGAAGCTGCTCTCGCCCCGACTTCCGATTGGTGGAGAAGCTACCAATCAAGGCTTGGGGATGCCAGTTAGGGCCCAGGCCAAATTTCTCGCTCTGCGTCCTTGACGTACAGTCACAATGGAGTCCAACGTTTCTGTTGCTAAGTCAGTTTCGCCCCATTTTACAACCTTTCTGGTTGAGCAAATCCTCGCAGCTGTTCGGTTAAGTCACACCCACAGTTGTTAAGTGGATTCGGCTTCCCCACTGAATTGGCTCGCGGGAAAGGTCCACAAAAGGGGATCCCGGGACACACACACACACATCTGGGACGCTGCGACCGTCATAACCGAGTGTCCCAATTTGGATCAGGTGGGCATGGGGAGGCTGCATCGGTCGTAAGTGTGAAAAGCGGTCCTAAACCGCTCTTCCCGGTCCTGTTGTTAACTTTCAAACAATTGTTGAGGCCGACGACCAGGCGACACAGAATTGTCTGCTCTCGGGCAGCTTTTTCCGCCCTCTTGTTGTCATTGCGGTTGATGTCCTCTTCTCTCTCGCTCTGCCTCCAGTGTTTTCTTCCTATGGAAGGATCGATTCATGACCTGCAGCTCCGTTGCCAAACCGATGTGCTCTTATAGAGTGAAGAATCTAGTTGGGGAAACCCGATCTCCCCCCTTCCCCACCCCCGGTTGGACTCTGGAGAAGCGGCAGAAGAGACTGGATCCCAAGGCAGACCTTTGCTCCCCTAGGATTCCGTTCTGCCTCGCTGGATCTCTGGAACCGCCCCACCAGCCTTCCTCCTGCGGACGAGCAAAGAAAACCACGCATCCTCCTGCTCTACTGTCCAAAGAACCATCGGAGCAGCTTCCCAATGTGGCTTGCGCTGCGGCCTTTTCCCGCGCGAGGATCCGGCCTTTGCTCCCTTGGCTGTATTGTCCTCCCCCGTTTTTAACCTCGTTTTGGGCCCTGCGACGGTTGACATGTCTGAGCTTGACCGGCGGGCGGGACTGGGTTGCCAAATTGCAGAGCAGGTCCGGGGAGGCGTGGCTGTCGGTTTTGATGAACCCGTTCTCGCCTTCAAGAGCCTCACCTTGCCTGACCTGACCCGCTCTCCGATCCGGTTTGAAACCAGAAACGTTTCGAGTGCAGCTTGCCTGTTTTCATCCTTCCGAGACTGCAGGAGTCGAGTTTTCGTTCCAAGTTTGCAAGGTCGATTCGGATCCTGCACATCTGGCAGGCACTCAAGGGGACGGGCTCTGCCCTCCTGGTGTGGAGGCAGAGGGGCAGGGAGGCAAAGAACAGTAGCCTAATGGTTGCCCATAGGTCGACCAATTTTGAACACACCCTCTCCTTTTGTGGAAAAAGCGGAGATGTTGTTCCAGCTGAAGAATTTTGGGTCAGGACCCACCGAAGGCAGGATAGAAGGAATGGTAAATCATTTGACTAAAGTTGTTCCATCCAGGGTACACAAAGTGGGCCTTGCAAGGAGCAGCGTGTCGGTCTAAATCAGACCCCGTGAGCGTTTCTCAAAACGTTGGCCCAAACTAGGGTCTTCCAGCTTCAGTCTATACTAGCATGGCTGATTCCTTGCTGATTCCAGAGAACTGTCTTTATAAACAGTTCCAACGCAGTCTTAAAACTTTCAGCGCCAACCTTCTCCAAAGATATAAAGTTTTGGTTCTATCTTTTCAAAACATCCCTAGTTCTGTGAGCATTTTCGCCAAGCCTATTCTTCATAACAAAGTGATTTTTCTAACAAAAGCCAGTATTTCATACTCTAATCATAATGCTTTATTTAATAATAATAATAAAAAGGTTTGTTACCGGCCTTGTATTTTTCAATAAAGAATCAATGGCACGGTTGAGTTCTGTAATTTTTTTGAACAACTCTACTCCAGAAAGAAAATAATTCGCTCTTCAAACAAATAGACAGTGGCAGGAATTGGCTATGTCTAGTCTAGAGAAAAAGAGGATGAGGGGTGACCTGACAGTAGCGTTCCAATATTTGAGGGGCTGCCACGAAGAAGAGGGGGGGGCACCTATTTTCCAAAGCAGCTGAAGGCAAGACAAAAAAAAAACAATGGATGGAAACTAAGCAAGGAGAGATGCAACCTGGAATTAAGGAGAAGCTTCCTAACAGTGAGGACAATTAGCCAGTGGAACAGCTTGCCACCAGGAGTTGTAGGTGCTCCATCACCTTTTAAGATTGGACAGCTATTTGTCTGGAATAATACAGGGGCTCCTGATTGGGCAGGGAGTTAGACTAGAAGACCTCCAAGGTCCGTCCCAATTTCTATTAAAAACCGGGCAAGTTTTGGTTCATCTTGCACTAAAGAGACTACGTCTGACTTCCTTAATCTCTCAAGCCAACCCTGATATTTCCTGCGACAAGTTGGCATTTTCCCGTTTACGAAGAGTCTGCCCTTTTCATAATTCCCAGCTGATTCATAACTCAATACCTGTTTGCTCCATGGAGTGGCTCTTGTTAAAAATACACAATAGGCTGAGGGGCAAAAGGTCCTCCCTTTTCCTAAGAGTTCTGCAAGGGAAAACAAAAGAAATCTGTTATCCAATTTAATTTATTGGATCACTCATTTACTTTGCTATTTTTTCCCCTGCGTTATCTCGGCCTCAACCAGCTACAGTTCCATCCAGATGTTTTTGTTTTCCAGCTGCAAGTGTTAAGTTATTAACTGTTTATCGGGGAGCTTCGAGGCTTAATCCCACTCTGCAGTTTTGCGTCAAGCCTCCCTTATAATCTGTCACTTCTTGTTAAATCCTATCACCTCCCAAGGATCAGGTCTGATGCTAAGGGTATCTTTGGAAAGGGGACGGGGGGGGGTTTACAGCCTCCCTAATAAAAGTAGCCCTCAATTTAACAACCAATGGGGAAGCCAAATTCACTTAACCGTGTTTCTAACAACTAAAGTGATTCACTTAACTGGTTAGAAAGGTAATAAAATAGGGCAAATCTCACTGAACTGTCTCACTTAACAACAGAAATATTTGGCCCGTCTGCAGTCATTTAGAAGTCTTTTGTGATCTCTGAATAGCTGCCCGGGTTTCTACACCATACTAAGCCATGATTAATCCCAAATGGCCATGTTCACATGTTGTGCTAAGCCATAAATCCTTGATGATTGTCTGCAAGTAAAGATTGGGCCCAATCCACCCCAACATGCACGTATTTTGGGATCAATGTATTATTACGAAACTACCCTTTTAACCCTATAAAGTATTCTTCTCATCCATTACTACTTCTAAGAAACGTTATGATGATTTTGAGATTAATAGCAGATCCGCAGCAGAGTCTCCCCAATTACATTCAGAGGGATTAACTCAACAGCAGAGAAAAACCAAATTCTTGACGTCAAATGGCTAAACTTTCAGCCCAGCTGTTTGAAGAACAATATTTTTTTTCTCTTAAAAACGGATCCAGTATCTTTTTTGCCTCCCACTTAATGCTCCATGTGTCAATGGATAGGGCTTGCTTTCCACCCATTGATGCTATCACATGACACCAATCTTTGGGAAAAAAAACCACCAAGATTTATTTGAAAAGATCTGGAAAATAGTTCCGCTTTCAAGCAATATCTTACAAGTTTTCAAAGCATTAACAATAGGAAACGTCAGGCATCTTCCTTCAAAAGGAAGTTCAGAATCCCACAGTCGGGATGCCTTTAACTGGAGTAAGAAGAGCACTGTCCATGCGGTAAAAAGTCGATTTATAAACCTGCCCCGTCACTTCTATCACCTCGAAGTCACTTCTATCACCTCGACGTGTCTTCAGAGGCTGGCACATCATTAGAACACGATCAGAAAAGGATTTGGGGAAGGAAACAGTCCAACGAGGAAAAGACAAGTGTCTCTGCATTCAGGAACTTCCAATTCAAGAACTCTCCAAAAATGAGCTGGCAATTTGGCAACCCATCAACCCCAGAAGTCCTGATGCGTGCTCGGTGAACATCTTTCGGGCAACACCCCGATATTCTTTCTGAGTATTTGCTTGGCATATCACGCTTCTTGATTCGTGCCCTGTTTTCGCCCTGCTGCAGTGACACCCTCCAGACCGCTGTCTTGTAAAACTATAGTTTTCTTGGGGCGGTTCTCTTGCCAAGAGAGGGCATTTAGCATCAGAGGAAAGGAAACCCGTTGAAAGCCATCAGCAAAAACCCGTAACAGAGATAGCTTAAAAGAATTTGCAGGGAGCTGACACAAAGGAAAAGCAGGCTGAGTGAAGTGCTGCCCCATTCAGGATAGAAGCCTGACTTTTAACCATCCTGGTTTGTTATTCTTGGTGGAAAATTGATGGCAAGGAAAAGAAACAAACCAAAAACCTCTCCTCATTTTCAGACCGAGCACGGGATTGGAGATCCTTGCAATGCTCATCCCAAAGAGAACTGGCTCAAACGTGCTTCCGTAAAACTGCACAGTTTTGAGCTGAGTCTCCTGCTGTAAAAAAGGGCGACTCAAGAGAAGCTTGAATTGATCAGTGAAGGGTGATCGGAGGACACTAGGACCCAGCTGCAATCCAAAATTCAGATTTCAGGCCGTGACACGGTCAAGCTCTCCGGGTTTTCTCGTCTAACTTCCTCCTCCAAGCCAAATATATGTATAAATAAAGAGGTGGGGAGGTTAGCCCAGGAGTGGCGCAGGGAAAGAACAAAGCTTTGAAAAAATGATTTTGAGATGGAAGACATAATTATAAGCCGGCTGGCGATTATATACAACCTTAAGTTTTAAAAAAAAAAACACAGCTGGGTTATTTTTCTAAACCCTGGAAAAAAATAGGACTAGCTAGAAAAAGAATGTTTTTTTTAATGATGATTTTTTTTTAACTTATGAAAAAAAGTAAAACGCCCACCTTTCCTAAATAAGGCTTATTTTTATCTCTCATCTGGTTGGAAACGCCTTCAATAAATCCTTTTATCTAAGTCAAGAGATCCATATGAATATCAGAGGCTTGGGCCTTTTTCCCACCTTTAATTATTGCTTATTAGGAAGAAAACCCAACTAGCAAATTTCTATTCCATACAATCGTGGTTTAAATATTAGTAAGAAGAGCAGGATGAAGATGAGAAAAGCAAAATACTCATTTCTGCTCTTTTGTCTAGCCTGGAAACATGCCAACTGTTTCAACGAGTAATTTCCTGACTCCGGCGTAGAAATATATGCTTTTGTTCCAACTGCAGCAGACTGTGTAGTATTTTGAAAAAGCTAGCAATGTCTCTGATTTTTACGGTTCTAAAGTTAAAATATCTCACTTTTCTAGTCTGAATACTAAGAATGCGATTCAATTGGACAAGGCATCACTTTTCACCCAGTGTCAAATGAACTGGATAAAGTTTTCTTTGCACAGGGAGGGAGGATAGGACTACTGCAGAGGTGAGAGAGACTTATCCAAGACTGGGCACGTTGTTAAAAATAAATAAATAAAGCAAAAGACAGATTTTCACACAAGGATGACAGTCCCTGATCAGATTCAGTGAATTTCCACGGGGAAAATCCTGCCTCGTTCTTTTCCGTCAAATTTAGACTGCCGGAATGAAGATATTGCGACAAAAAAAAAAAAAAGAATCCTAAACAACTTATGCACTATTTCCACCAGGGAGCAAGCAGCTACCCTGTTTTAATAAGAATATCACTTTAGAGAGTCCCGTCTTCAAAAATAACCAAATATGAGAATAGCAAACGCCTTTCCTGCAAGGAAAAAAATTTCAAGCTGTCGACTGCCTTTGTGACCTTTTAGCTTTTGAGAAATTCCAGGGATTTACGGATGGTTAAAAAATATCCAAGCCTTTCTAAAATCAGAGTTCTGATTATCACTTCTTTGAATTGAGGGAATGATGTCTGTGCCTTATCCTGGCTCACCCAGAACGAAAACAAAAGCAGAGTTTGGTACAGGTGGAGAATTTAAAAAGTATTTTAGTCTGGAAGTTCCCTGTTCTTGAAAAAAAAAAAAATCCCCTTTTTTAATCTTTGTAAAAACCATTTCTTTTTCTTTCTCCCCATACCAATGAGATAGACAATTAAGACAATATCAAGGGAAGATATTATAATAACAGCAAAAAAAAAAAAAAGACACACAGTATGTTGAAGATGAACAAAGGGTTTTTTCTTCTAACTTCAGCTGGACAGACTTGCAGTGGTTTGACCTCAGAGAGATCCAAGTAGCCTCCATCAGCAGCAGCTTCATCGTCCTTAAGAGCTCAAAAACCACAGAAAGCAGCCTTGTCTCCAACAGATTCAACCTTGAGCCACAGTGGTTCAGAAGGAAACAGTTCAGCAAGACAGGATTTTCAGAGAGAAGGTGCAAGAGTTTTTAGCTATTGCTGGGTCTGGCAGAATACACGGGACTGTCCTCAGACTGCTGTAAAATCAGGATTTCTATTTTCCATCCATTTGTTGGGCCATGTCAAAGCTGGGTCATGTCAGGTCTGTAGGGCTCTTGAAGGAGCAAATTTACAGGAATCCTGACCACAGATATTTGATGTAGTTGGAAGTGTGTCTTCACAGGATTATTGTTATTATTTTTGAGGAGGGAGCTTCCATTTTTCAGACCGTGGATTTTCAACCCGGCAATACTCATCTGGATTCGGAACAGCGTGTTGGGATTATTTCGGATGCAAAAGAGTTCACACACATGAGCAAAGGAGAGCCTTCACACAAGACACCCTTCCAAAGGCAAGGCGACGAAACGTCGCCCGTCCTTACAAGCTTCACTTGCGGCTTTTTACATCTGAAAGAGACTGAAGGAAAACTCCTTTGGAAGGTGACAAAAGCAGGTTAAAAAAAACACAGGCGTCCTGCTTGCCTTGGTCCCTTCAAGGACAGACCGATCAGACAAGACAGACAGAAAAAGATGGACAGTGAAAAACAAAAAAAGGGGGGGAAAGGAGTTCTAAGCAGCTATAGAAAAAACCAGAACACGCTTTTTTTTTTTTTTTTTGTAAACTGAAGAGAGAGGAGAAAGGAAGACGGAACAGCAGCTGTAATGAGAATCTGTAGTTGTGGCAAATTTGCAGAATGAATAAAAGGCTGGTTGTAGCAGCCCCACCATCAGTGCCACGGTCCCTGGGAATTGCACCCCAGGGGTGGATTTGCCAATATTTGGGAAACAAGCGAGCAAATTGCCACTCCTTGGAACACGGCTTCCCTAGGTGGACATGAACTCAATTGCTTGGAAAAAACACAGCATGTTTTCACAAGACGTGTTTTCCGTGGCCCAAGTAAGTCCACGTTCTGCCTGTCCTTCTTCTCTCCCAGGTTCCTTAACAAGGCAGGAAACTAACAGGATAGCTGGTCATCAGTAGAACAGACCGACATGAGGTATGTTGCTACCTTTTAAAAAAATATTACATATATATATATATATATATATATATATATATATATATATATATATATATATCCTTCACCCTTATCCATATATAGATATGGATATGGATAAGGGGGAAGTATGTTATGTTGATTTACTCCCGACAGCTACAGGCTTCAAATACTTATATACAAGGATAGTTCCATTTTGTTCTCTCTCCTTCCAAGACGGGACCCGATGTTCAAAATTCTTCCTCCTCGTCAACGGCAAAGTGGTTTTGCCTCTTTCTGACGTTCCAGTGTAAACACTCAGCCAGGCTTTCGAACCAATCGCTGACGGGATCTTGGAAGCAGATGGAAGGGAGAGGGTAGCAAGAGGTGGTGATGCTGATGCTAGAAGGAAACCAAGAAAGGCGGCCAGTGAAGACAAATCCAGCTGGAAACGGACGGCCCCAACGTTTGGTCTCCCAAATATTTTGAAATTGCTTCGCATTGAGTTGACTGGGGTTTAAATCAGGGCTGCTTAAAAGCGGCGTTTCCTTAAGGCCAAAGAGCCAATTTTGAATGCCGGCCCTTGGTTGCGTTTTAACCCTGCATTTTGGGCATTTCTTGATTATTTAGGGGGGGAAAAAAAACCCTTTCTTTAGCCAATTCTAGGTTCATACAGAAAAAAATTCCTCACCTGTCCCCGTGGCAGATCTCCTGCCTCTTCCGCCCGTCAAACGAAACCCACGCGGTGTTCCTGGCGTCTGGAGACAGCATGATCTAGGATTGAGAGAGAGGAAGAAAGACCCATGATTCCCAGGTTTGGATCCGGTGATGGAAAAGATCATACTTGTTATCTGTTTTACTTTAAAGAACTGTTTAACTCTGTTGACTGTTTTATTGAACTTGTGCCAGCATATGTGGGGGCTCTTGGGTGAACGTTGGCAGTGCTTACGAAGACAATTATTCTGACCAGCTAATTGCTTTGCCTCCGTTCGGGGCCCTCGGTCAACACAGGAGGTGAGGTCAGGCCCACCCCGAAAATAAGGCCTGGTGCCTCTTTTGGAGGAAGAAAAAAAAAAGACCTGGTCTTATTTTCGGGGAAACACAGTACCAATTTGGAAACAAAGGGGATATGAGATTCCTGTTGTGACAAAATGCACGAGCTGTGTTATTGTGGGTGGGGTCGGAGGAGAGCATGATTCATTCCTTCAAAGATGCTGACAGTAACCCAGAGATCCACCCCTTCAGATATAAAGCTGGTAATTGCTTTTCCTGACTTAGCTTTTCTCTTAGTATTTTCTCTGGAACTGAAAATACGTTTTGGCACAGCGTATAAGTCGGCTACACTCTTCTTGTTTGCCGAGAGAGGGTGGCGGGGAAAGGCAGGCCAGGCTGGAGACTAATGCTTCATTCACTTTCATAAGAGGAAAATGTAAACCTGTTCGCTGGGATTGTAAAATGTATCCTTAATCAGGCCAGCTTCAGCATAAAAGGCAGGTTAGCCCGAACCAAATTAGCTGTTCGCTAACCACGTTGCGGAGTTTTGTGGTTTAATGTGAGGGAGGAACTCGGCCCGTTGGCTCATTCATAGTTTAGGAGACTGAAGGCAAAGCCAGAAAAAAATGACGACTGTCATTAACCCCATACTTTGGTTGTAAGCCATCAGGATTATTAAGCAGGCTTAGTCTAATTGGGCAGGAAGATAAAGTAAATCCATTTGTGGATTCTCCATCCTCATGCTGGAGAACAAACACTGTAGTCAGAAAGCGGGTCTCTTGTGGCTGCGTAATGATTCCAAACTGATGACACGCTTCACCCTGCCTTCCAGCTTAGCTTGCTCATCCCCTACAGGACTGGCTCAAAGACAAGCCACGGGCTCCTCTGGATGAGCACGGAAGTTGGGTCTCTCTGCTCAAATCAGCCCTGCCCCACGAGGTTCCCCTTTTATCGCAATCAGTTTAAGGTCCTACCTTCAGGTCCACTCCAGCTGGGACGACGATGGGCCGGAAGGAGAGGGAATGAGGACAGATCGGGGTGATCATGATGGCAGGGACGTTCGGATGGATCATTGAGGCGCCCGCGGCAGCCGCGTATGCCGTACTGCCTGTCGGCGTGGAAACGATGACGCCTAGTGGGAAGGAATGAGCACTGTTTACCTTAAGAACAGCGGGAGGGGACAAGTGGTGACCCACCAGCTGTGTGGGCTTACCATCGCCTTGCACAGTGGTAATAAGGTGGCCATCAAGAAAGACATCCACGTTGGAAAGATAAGAGGAAGGGCCTCGGTCCACTACCACTTCATTCAAGACCTGGAGAACAGAAAAGGATGTTATGAGTGAAACGCACCAAGCGTGACCTGTTGTGGCAGTGTTTTCAGCTTTGGCCCCTTTAAGATGGGTGGCCTTCAACTCCCAGAATCCCCCCCGCTGCCCTCTTAAAGGGAGCCAGGTTGAAAAACACTGGTGTAAGGACTCCAAGGGGGGGTCTAGATTAGAACCAATTTAACAGGTGAGCATTTGATTTGAGGATCTCATGAACGTTGTGCTGAGTAATATTAAGAAAGAAAGAAAGAAAGAGAGAGAGAGAGAGGGAGGGAGGGAGGGAGGAAGGAAGGAAGGAAGGAAGGAAGGAAGGAAGGAAGGAAGGAAGGAAGGAAGGAAGGAAGGAAGGAAGGAAGGAAGGAAGGAAGGAAGGAAGGAAAAAGATGACCTGTTCATCAGAGTCACTTGGCTGAGTTGGGCAGTTATAAAAATTGAATAAATAAAATAAAAAATAACATAGCAAAGATGCCCACCAGATACTGAGTTGCTTGCTTAAACATTTCTTTCTCCAGACTCGAAGACACCACTCCGTTTTCTTCAATCCCGTTCTGAATCACGGCCTTCTTCTCCCAGTGTTCCTTAATCACCTTCACCTTCAGCCTGCTTCGGAGAATGAGGGCCGCGTTGCCTGCCGGGAAGAATTAAGACAGAGAAGGGATTAAAATGGCAAGGCTGATTAGCACAAGCATGAGCTGTGCTGAATAACACAATCCATTTCATGGAACCGTACAGCCAATCTGAGCCAATCCAGAAAAATGTTCTTAATTCAGACCGTGACTCGGTATTGGCTTTCTAGAACGGCTAAAACTCCCCGGGACTTTTAAAAAAAAAAAAAGTTTGAATCAACTTGGACTTTCCTGCTGCAGGGTACACTGTATCCCCATGCCCACCATGTAATCTTAAAAGGGGATCTAGCTGGGATTTTAAAAGCATGTCACAAAATGACCGCCAGAGAGGGAGTCACCACTGAGCAGAAGGTGAATTGTTGACGCTGCTCTCTTTCAGACAAAGTTCCTCTGGATTAGCCTACTCTCTTTCCAGATTAGATTCATGTGTTTTTGTTTTTGTCCCCTTCATTGGGAGACCTCTGAACTCCTGTCAGCCAGTCTCTTATTTCCTAAAAACGTCAGGGAGCCCTGAATAGTCTGTGGGAATAGCCTTGGGAGATGGAGGAAAAAGCTGCAGATGGGACAACGGCCGTATAAAAGGCATCTCAGCTCACAGCAGGAAGATGGGCATGGCAAACAACTCAGGAGAGACCCTCCCTACTATCCTGGGTTGTAGAGGGGAAGGGGAGAGACATACTTTCAGATTTTCTGTTAAGGTAACCTTACAATAAGGTTGAGCCTGTTCTTTTGAGTCTGCCTCCTGTCGGGAGCACTTCACAAAGACGGCTGGCATTCTTGCAAATAAAGCGGCTGATAAGCCAGGCGGCTTGGTTTGGCAATTCATTATTTAAAAAAAAAAATGGGGCAGGATGGTAATTTAAGATGCCCAGAGGTTGCAAACCTCCCATCAGCTGCATCAAAATTGAGAATCAATTGAGTCAAGCTCTTCTCCAAAGCGCCTGAAGGCAGGTCAAGAAGCAACAGATGGAAACTAACCCAAGAGAGAAGCAACCTGGAACTACGGAGAAACTTCCTGACAGTTGGAAAAAAAATAATCAGCGGACAGAGCTACCCCATTTGACACACACACGAAAAAGACCACACATCTGAGGGGCAGCTTTGCAGAAATGGAAGGACCCTTTGGGACTTACCTTCTATGACTTGGGTGACCTGAGACTGAAAGTTCTCGAAGTTGAAGGGGGTGAGGAAGCCCAGAGACCCCAAATGGAAAGCCATGACTGGGGGTACGCTCCTCTGTAGGCAAAGGGGAAAAAAAACAGGGGGAGGGGGGATGTTAGAAAGCACCAAGAAAGAGTTGGGGAAAACAGCATCCTCTGAGCATTTTCATCCTCGTTCTTACATCTGGGACAAAATGCCCTTGAATCGTTTGGCATAAATTGGGAATGAGTGCCAAAATCCAGAGCAAATGTGTCAAGCTAACTTTGCTCGGTTTGCAAAGCGCTCTGCAAAAAAATCACCGGTCCTTAGACATTTTTCTCTGTTCTGTGTTGTTTTAGATTTTTTTTTTTTTTTTGGTACTGTTCCTTGTTTTTAAATGTTTTTTAAGAATTTGTAAACCATCCAGAGTCACTGGGAGACAGACCATGCAGGAACAAAAAAGCACAACAATTTTGCGGTTGGCTCTTCTATTGTGTGTTTAAAGGCAGCCGTACTGTCCTTGTGTTCTACACATTTGTCTGGGTTTCATTTAAACTGGACTTTTTTTCTCCAGGTTTCGGTAGAATAAAAGTGTGGTTCTTTTTTTTTTTTTAAAAAAAAAATGGGTATTTGAGCTCATAATATACCGGGAAAAGCGATGAAGCGTAGAGTAACGTCCCGTCTCCGCCCAGGCAGATGATAAAATCTATCTGATCTGAGATATCGTCATAATCTACAAAAAGGGGGAAAAAAGAAAAAATAATTCAAGATCTTAGAGACTTCTAGCCCTGCCGCCAATTAAACAAGCAAAGATGCAGCCAGATGACAGAATGAAAGATCCTTTTATCTGGTCCTGTTTTAACTATGGTCATTTAATAACATTCACGCTGGGCTCTTTGGCAGCTGCCTGACATTAAAAATTATTCCTCCCAAGCCCGCAGCTTAGAGTCTTCTTTAATAAGATTTGTTGAGCAAAACGGGACAAGGTGACAAGAATACTATCAAATCAACTATTTCCTCCTTAGAACTAATATATCTCCATATACAGGTGGAGCGGTATATAAGTCTCATAAATAAAAAAATAAATAAATAAAATAAATATACAGGCAAGTCCATAACTGAACTCTGCATTTACAGTTGTAAGTTGTGACAGTCGTAAAGCGGTTCACCACATGGCCGGGCCCAATTTTATGACATTTTCTGCAGTTCAAGTCGTTAAGTGAACTCTTTGTTCCCTATGGGGTGATTTTGCTGGAAACTGGAAAGAAAGGTCAATTTCCTACAAAACCATCCATAAATGCTCCATCACTGGAGGCTTTTAAGAAAAGACTGGACAGTCACTTGTCAGCAATGGCATAAGGTCTCCTGCTTGAGCACGGGGCTGGACTAGAAGACCTCCAAGGTCCCTTCCAGTTCTATTCTGATTGATTGAATGAATCACATTTACCTGACTACAGGGCACTGCAAATGGCTGTAAAGATGGGCTGGGTGCCAAGTGCCCAAAACCTGGTCACGTGATGTGACTATAAAGCCCCCCCCCCAACATAGGATCTTTGAACCAGATTGTAAGTAGCTTTTTGGGGTCCTTCTTAAGCAGCCGGTCGTAAGCTGAGGACTCCCCCATACTATCTATCTGGCAAGAGCCGTTTTGAACCACCTGGCAGTTCCGAGGCGGCTAAGTACCTTCACTAAAAGTGCAAAACCGCTTCTTCACCGACCCAAAACTCTCATCGTTCACAATGGCTGGATCTTCCAGGACTTTCTTCTCCACGTAAACCAGCATACTGTTGACCTGGAAAGGCAGAAGTGGCGTTGACGTAAACAAGTCAGCAACATCAACAACAACAACAAAACCTCTTGAGGAATCTTCAACGGTCCCACTGAAGCAGGTCAACCCAAAAGAATTACTGGCCGTATTCACATAGCTTGCTGAGTTAGTTTCCATGCTGGTTAATTAAGTATGTTAAATTAAGCAGGGGAGAAGAACTGGGTGGAATCGTTTTTATGCCACGACGGCCAAAACAGGATGCAAGCCTTCCAGTATTCCAAGGTCTGCACCATCAGGAAAAAGCCGGGATTCGTAGTCCACGTTCTTCTTCTCTAGGAAAAGAAGAGGGACACAGCCATGTCCAGCTTACCTCGGTCAAGTAGATGCAGAGGTCTTTGAATGGCTGCAGAAGACTGGCGTCTCGGATCTTCTTGATCACAAGGACGCTTTTGGGGGCTTTGTTCCATGTCAATCGCTGGCTTGCTGGATCCTGAATGTGCCTGTGGGCAGACAAGGCCAGGATGCTATCATTTTTTCACACACACACGCACACAAAAAGAACAAATGGGACTTTTTTTTAAACAACACACACAAGTAGTTTCCCCTTTGCCTGCTGGTTTTCCTCCAGAAGGAGAAATACAATTTTCCAAGGATGGATTGAAATGTGAATTTCTCCCCAGGCTGGATTTAAAAAAACAACAACAAACATTTAAAGGGGGGAGATATATATATATAATATATATATATATATATATATATATATATATATATATATATATATATATATATATATATATATATATATATATAAATATATTTATTTATTTATTTATTTGCAGGCCAGAATGTGACCACATGAACCTCTGCAGTTCTATTTAAAAAGAAAATCCATGTTTTATGTAATGAAACTGTCACTCAGACAAACACAGACACTCTGCTTCAGTTTAGGAATTTCCCAGGATTCTGCTTTGTTTCAGAGCTTCTGTTAATGCTGAAAGCTGTGATCCCTCGAATGCTGGTATCTGAAAGATGATTCAGTGGGACAGTCTGGACCGATTTATTCAAGAAACAGTGGCGTTTGTTTTTTTTTCCCCATCTGTTCACACGGCCTGTCCACGAGGACAGGAACCTTAAATCCTGGAGATAAGCTACGTTTTAGAGACAAAGACACACCTTTCTGTCCAAGAAGCAAAGTGTCCCTTTAGCAAAAGTTCTGTTACAAACTGCAAAAAGAGGCTAGCGAACGAGTTAAAGCCGTTTTATTTATTTATTAAATTTAGTCGCTCGCCCGTACGCAGAGGGCACTGCCTTCGCTCACTTCCTGGGTGCCACTGTGCCTCTTCAAATCAGCTGACAGGCTGGTGTTTTCCAAAGTGGCCCAGACTCTCTACACACCTCCCACAATGCCTCACGCTGGCAGGGGAATTCTGGGAGTGGAAGTCCACCCATCGTAAAAGTTGCCCCGGTTGGGAAACGCTGCCCTAGGCAGCTGAACTCCCCGTGGACGTTCCAGCTCCCACACACCCATTTTGGTGCCTTGCCAAGGTCTCTGATCTCTGCCTTACGCAATGTGCAAATGCGTCAAGCGTGGGAAGGTGTTGCTGTGAAGCTGCTGCCGGTCGTCCAACAGGTTAAACCCCGCGTGCCGTTCCCACACAAAGCACATCTGCCAGGTGAGCAACGTGGGAGAAAGGCACAAGCTCTCTTATTTAAGCGGGGATGGTGAGCCAGCCTCGAACACGGCGGTACGGGAAATTTCTGCTGCCTCTCTCTGGACAGGCCACTCCGGAAAGACAGGAGCGCCATTGTAGTTATCAAAAACCACACGTGATTAAATTCACTCTTTTTCTAGGGAGACGTTGACAAGGAGCTAGTTGTTCTCTGGGATGGAGTTTTTAAGTGCCAGCAGGCTGAAGGGGCTCGTATTCCATTTCAGAAAGCAGACTAAAAGAGCTGGACGGGACCTCGGAGGTCTTCTAGTCCAGCCCCCTGCTGAAGCAGTGAGGCGTCAATGCTGGCTTGGAAGATCTAGAAATGGACATTCCGGTTAGAGGTGATCAACTCAAGGACTCTGAGATCAGCTGAGTAAATTCTGGTGGAAACGAGGTGAACGTTAACAATGCCGTCCATTGTTTTCCAATGAAAAATCCAACAGATGGGCAAATTACAGCGGTAAAAAAATCTTCTCGTCCTCACGCCGTTTAGATATCTCTTTCAAGAAGCTGGTCAGCCAAGACCTGTGGATGTTTCGGAATCAAACCCAGCTTTATTCTCAAACCACTTTTCTTATCCCTTCACAGAAAGTTCCATTTAGCACTTAAAAAAAAAAAAAAAGGCAGCTCTTGACTTTAAGAAGAACTGCATTCTTATGCTTTCCTTCTCTTTTCTTTTTTTTTCAAGTAAGTTTAGCCTGAGGTGAACCTGGGTATTTAAGAATGCAGCCAAAGGTAAGAGGGAAGATAGTTCATGCTTAAATCCTTCGTATTTGTTGAAATTAGGCTGAACCGTTCTTAAACTGGAAATGAAAAAGTGACCTTTCTTTGCAGGCTACCAGCTGTGGAACTCCGTGCTACAAGATGGTCACCCAACCAATTTTAAAAGGATATCAGAAAATTAACAGAAGATTTCGCTAACAGTGGCATTTAGACATATATATTATTTCTGCCCGTGGCAAATATCTGTCTGTCTGTCTAATCTCTCTCTCTCACACACAAGAATACTACTAAATTAAACTCATCATTTCCAAAGCTGGAACTAAATTCTTCGTTCTAACTCAGGATAGTTGTCTCTCTGTTATATTAACAATTAACTAAAGGGGATGTTGCCATTTGGAATCATTCCAGTTAACACTTACAAAACATTAGGCAAATATTTCCCCCTACTGTTTTTTTATCAGTAGCAAAAAAATAAATCAATAGCCAACTCTATCTGCTGGCGGAAAGCAAGACTTCAAATCTGGACAGAAATCTGTTTATGCGTTTCCAAGAAAACCAGAAGGGCTTGGCAATGAACTCAGGATAAATTCTAAGCCATCCCTACCATCTTACATAACCTGGGAAAGGTGATTATAAAAGTCTGCTTTAAAGCTGCACAGAAGACAGGCAGGCTACAAAGAAAGCAATGAACGATAACCCAACCTGTGCCTTAAAAAGAAAACATGGAAAATTGAGCCTGTTTTTTTAAAACTTTTTTACCCGCTGCTTTCTATATATTTCCCGGCAGAAAAATCCACAGAGAAGGAAGGAAAGAATGGGAAATAATGAAAAGGAAGAAGACGAAGAAGAAAAAGGAAATTAGAAACTGCACTTTGGAGAACTTTTAACCTGTCAGGTATTTTCATCCTCATTCCGTAGTTTACTTCAAGGTGGAGCCAGGAAAAATGCGATTCAGCATTCCAAAAGGATCAACCCGGCTTTCCAGAAACTTCAATGAACTTTTTCTAAGACAAACCAGCCAAGGGATAATTAACTCCTCCGGAGGATCTTCTTGCCGACAAAATCTCAGCCATCAGAATCATTTTCTGTTCACTTTCTCTACTATTTCCTACTCACAACTATTTCCCTTTTCCTCCCAAGACTCACCACTTCCAGGTTGATGGACCGAACGAGCAATTACTGAGGTGCTGAAAAATTTTCATCCTTCAGGCACGCGGTGAACCCAAGGGCAGAAACCAGCCTCCAAAATAATCTTTTTCGGAGCCAACGAGCTACCTTCGACGAAACACACCACCCTGAAGTCCGACTTTCATTTTTTAAATGGCTTTGATGCCTCTCCCAAAACCAGTATTGCTGCTTTCTTGGAAAATCCACCGCAAAGAATTCTCCAAGGACTCTCAAACCAATACAAAAAACATCAAAAAACAACAACAACAACAAAAAGAGGAAAAGTGCTCGGTGTGAGTGTTAAAAAAATTACTTTTGCTCCTCCAGCTTCTTGTCGCGTTAACGGTGGTTTACAAACAAGTTTGAATCAAAGCCAGATAGCCAGATGCGTCTTGGCACAATAAACCACAATCGTCCTCAGCTTCATGTTGGAATTTCCGATTAAAAGGGAGAGACAGCGCGGCCAGCTACTGCCTTCTCATACAGACAACTCGGGATTCTTCAGGAGGAAAAGAAAATAATTTGGAGAAGTAAATCTGGACTTTTGAAAACAGCCAGACAAATCTAAAACCGAAAGAAAGGATGTGAAGGGGGGAAGTCCAATCCCTGGGCTGCTGCTGTGCCTCCCGTTCTTGGTTTTTTTTTTTCTTTCCTGGATGCTCCACGGAGGAGAAACGCTCCTTGCCTTCTTAGCCAGCGGATTAATCTCAGCACACATTATTATATTGTACAATCCCAGCACAGCCCCAAAGGAGGAGCTGCTCTAACCTGCTGATAAAAAAAAAAAGGGTGATGCAAGTCCAAAGTTGAATAAGTGACAAGTCTGCCTTTAACCCATCGGCTTCCAAACCACGGGAGGGCCTGACCGTCACCTGGAACGGAGGTGTGTGAGTGTGTGTGTGTGTGTGTGTGTGTGTGTTGGACTGAGTCAGTGTCGGTCCTCTCTCTTGGCTTGTTGTGAAGTGGGCCGGCTTTGGTTCTTGACCGTCTTGTGCAGGGGTGTCTTTTTAAAATAATAATAAAAAAAAAACCTTGCCAGCTGCAAAAGCAGAAGGGTTAGAAAACAGCTGGAGCGGGAAGGGTGGAGGAGCCCAAACCAGCTTATCAGCCAATTTATGAGAATCAGTCCCTTAGTGGATGCACAGGAGTGCTGATGCAGATTGGGGAATTCAGGAGGGGGGGGGGGAAATCAAGTTAAACCACAATTGACTCAGAGATATGAAGGAACGAAGGACACAGGTTACGTTGTTCGGACAAGTCAACAAATATTAACCCTGTCTGCCTCTCCGCTTTGCGTTCGGCCTCCGTTGTGGGCCAAAATGGTTTACGAAGGAGCAGAGAAATGAGGAGAAAGTTTAAATTGCCAAGAGAAAAACCCAGATCCCAAACCCCAGGACTGGATCTGAGTAGATCTAACAACCTGCTCAAGCTGGCACTTCCCTGGGAGGGGGGGGGAACAAGTCCTAGCATCTGCAGAAAACGATGGAGTTGGGATATGTGTGTGTGTCTTTCTCAGCCCTGTGCAGAAATACTAGGGGTTGAACCCAGAACTGGGGAAGCAGCCCTTCTCTTAATACTGGATCATCACTCCTGATTCTCACAGGTTCAAAAAAAAAAAAAAAAAGATCACCATCCATTTCCTGGCAGTACATATGTGAACAAATTTTAAAAACCACCCAGACACCAGATTTCTTTTCAAAAATGCTACCGTGCAAAGCTGCCAGGCAGAAGATAAATCAGAATTATTCTCAGGTAAATAGATTTCACTGGCAAAAATTTCCAGTCTCTTGCAGCGGAAAAGGCAGTGGTGAGTTTGATGGAGACATAAGGAATCTTCTATCAGGAAGCATCCTGAGTGTCAGATTCTGGACTGAAACTTACGTCGTGCGTGCGTACACAAGGCTCGTGAAAATTTTAACTTATTGCCCAGGCTTACGCAGCCCCAAAGACAGATCAACTGGGTTCACGCAAGGTGCTAAAAGCTCAAGTAGCTTTAACCATGGTCTGTTGGCAATCTAGACCCATTTCAGCCGCTGTCTGTGTGCGAGGGCAGAAAAAAGGAATCGTCAGATCAGCTGGTTAGAGTGACATACTGGCCAAAATAAGGAGAACCACTCAACCCTTAAAGATTGAGAGACGTGCATGTTATTTAAAGGTCTAAAACCTTCCACTTGCCCCACACACGTTAAAAATAAGAATTCACACCGACTGTGCTGACCAGCCTCTCTTAATGAAAAGCTATAGGCTGAAAATACTATTTTGGTCCCAACTGTTTCCCTATTTCAGAAAAAGCTGGCAGCTGGCACCGCTAAAGGAGAAGTGATGCTTTTCAAAAAATTATGATTAAATGAATTTCTTCTACGCTGAAAGGCTGCTCTGGAACACTGCTGGAAAGTAATTCTAGATAACTGGAGAATCTCTCAGGAGCCTTCCGGAACAGGCAGTCCTCGACTTACAACGGCAGTGAAAAAAGTGACTGAGGGCCGTTTTTCACATTTATGACCCTTGCAGTCTTCCCGCGGTCACGTGATCACAATTCGGACACTTGGCAACTGACTTGTACTTATGACTGTTGCTGTGTCCTGGGGTCATGTGACCCACCCTTTTGCGACCTTCTGACAAGCAAAGTCAATGGGGGGGGAGGAAGCCAGATTCACTTAACAACCGGGTCACTAAATGAACAACTGCAGTGATTCACTCAACAAATGTAGCACAAAATTCACTTATGTCTCACTTAGCAACAAAAATTGTGGCAAACAAACTCTCCTTGAGATTTTTAAAACAGAGGCACCTGGACTCCAATGGCTGCAAATGTCACTCTCTAGAGGCAAGATGGATCGAGAAACAAAGAACTGTTAGAATTCTGTAGATAAAAGTATAAAGGCAAAATCTTGAAAGCCTCACAGATTCTCGGCCCCTCTGACAACAAAGAAAATCAAGGCTAGGCAGTCTTGACTTTCTTTCTCACTCCTTCCTCCCTTTTGGGACTAAGCTGGCATTCCTTCTTTGAGGCCACTTCTGCACTCCTCTCTTTTCCTCTCTTCTTCCCAACCTTGGCTTCGCCAACCTCTGTCTACAGCTCCCACCACAGCCTGCCAAACGAGGTCTCTGGTTAGACTTCAAGGGCACGTCACCCAGCGTCTGGAGACTCATCGTCAGAAAAAGCTGTTATGTCAAGGACGTCACTCAGCAGCAGAAGAAAACAATGCGAGACTCATACAATTCTCCTAGCACGATGCAGACCAACCCTTCTCTATGTTGTGTAAGGAAAATCAATTCAATGGTCTTCCAAGATCTTCCAAGGTCCACTCACTCCATGGACCTGTCTCAATTCCTGTTTACTCCAAGGACCACTGTAAATATCCCACGGAAGGTAGCAAAAATATATTCCAGGCGACAGGCAATGGAAAATATAGACGGAAAAGGCAATGGGCACACAGACCAATCCTTTTCAATGTGAGATGCAAACGCTATATAGACATACCCTATTATCCTATTTAAAATGACCCTTTGGGGAGAGTATTTTGATCAGAGCCAGTCTACTTCTGTGAAGGAGGCCAAGTTCATGAGGTCAAGTTGTTCAAAACTTGTTCCAAAACATGGAACTCAAGCTAAGTCTTCTGTAGGAAGCAGAAGACAAACATCTACCTGGGGGACCACACCTTGATAAGCGGTCAGCACCTTCTCTCCATTCAAAAACAAATGCATCCCAGCTGCCCTTTTATGGTAACATGATCAAAGTCAACTAAATCCACCTTTGCAAAGCAGAAAGTGTCGTATGAGTGAATCAGAGTTTTTATGGGACAAAACAAGGAAACAGTTTAAGGAGCCACTGTATTTAACCAGGCAAAGTGCAAACAAACAATTCAGATTGAGGTGTCTGGAATTCTCTGCAATTGTTCCTTCATTTAATCGGCTTTTGTTCCTGGAAAGACAAAGAAGATGGAGGAAGCTTCCACTTACATGATGGCTTGGGGATTCTGCAACATGCAAGCTTTTGGTCCAAACGTGGTGACTGGGCATGGTCCATGTAAAGAACGTGTCCTCCTAGGAAGAGAAACAGCGGGATTTAGTTTCCAACAACTCAAGAAGATGCAACATTGTCTTCGAGGATTAAAAAAGGAGCATCAGTTTACAATTTAACTCCCCCCCCCCACCCACCCACCCTAAAACCGTCAGCAACGGAGTCTGATTTAGCTCAACATTCTGAAATTTCAATAAGCTACTGATAAAAAAATGTACTCTAATCTACAGAATGGGTTTCCATCAAGTCAAGACAATGTAGTTAGTCTGAGTTTGACTTAAGGATGTGCTGGAGAATCCAAGCACATGGCTTGGGAATTATACTTTACAGCTGAATTCAGTCTTTCTCAAATCTTGGCAGCTTTCAGATGGGCAGACTTTTAACTCCCAGAATTCCCCAGGCAGCTGGGGAATTCTGGGAGTTGATGTCCACCCATTTTCAAGTGCCAGGATTGAGAAACACTGGCTTAAGATATCAGGGGAACTCACCAGGCAGAAGAAAAAAAGAACCCCAAGAAAAGAATGAATGGTAAATAAAATATGGCAAAAGAGGCCATTTCCTGCAAGGTTGAAACATCCGGTGTCACCATCAGAATGCTCCTGCCGGGGCTGAACTAGTTCAGTTAGGAACGTTGCAACTCTCCAAATGCTTTGTTCATTTCTTTTACACATATGCTGCAACAAGATTTCCCGACCAGTGATTAGAACTTTATGTAAGCTACTGGTCCAACAGATCTGGATACAACTTCCTGTTGCTTCAAAAGAAGGGATTTTAGAACAGGTCGCGCAGGTGCAAGGAAAGCAGTATATTTTTTTTACGATATTCAGAACTAATAAAATGAGAGCTGAGGCTTGGTTCATTCTAGCCCACCAGGAAAGGAACAACCTGTAATTCCCCATTGTTAAAAAAAAAAAAATAATCTAAAGATATCCCCGGAATGGTCGTGCCTGGAGTTGTGGAGCTGTTGCACAAACAACGGTGCACTGCTTATTGAGATCTCCAGATGTTAGCCACTGTTCTGGGAGGGAATCCCAATTGTGGCAGCACCTCTGATTTTTGAGCGAGGGCTGGGGGCCGTGAGCCAAAGGGCACGGGGACCGTTTCGTTTGGGGTGGAAATATCGTTAAGCTTAATGCCTACGGTTGAAGGGATTTAACACGGGTAACTGTGTGGTTCCCCTGGCGTCACAATACAAATGATTCAGGGCTGTTTTTGGAGATCTGTTGGGGCCAGAGGTCCCACCCAGGAAGCCTCCTTCCACATTACATCACAGCATTTAAAGTAGATTACTGGCACAAGTTATGAGGATCAGTGACTCAGGCAAGCTTACAAAATTTGGCTGCATTTCCGCTCCCGCTTCCAATAAGCCTCACGGGGCGATTCGCAATCTCAAGGAACGAAGTGACCAACAATTATTGAGGTGATTTTTTTTTTCTTCGCCCCAGGGGACTAGGAAAGCTAACCTGTTCCTAATCTTTTTGCCTGTCACCTGCTGCAATCAGAGAGAACACAAGATACAGCTCAGCTCTGTCCAAGTCAAGGTGGTGGTTATGGCTTTGAAGGTCCTACATGGCATGGGGACAGGATATTTGGGGGGCTATCTCCCCCCTGGTTATACCAAGCCCTCCCACCAGATCTGGCGGAAAAGGCAGGTTGTGGGTCTCATCGACGAGGGAGTTTTGTTGGGTGGGACCTAGGAGAAAAGCCCCAGGTCCCTGCACAGAAGACTCTCTGCCCCATCCGGGGTGAGGCTGGCTGTAATC